GCTTAGGGGTTGGCGAAGCGTCGCTCCAAAGATCGCACTTCTCGGCCCAAGGGCGGTGCTGCCAACTGTTTCGGCATCGCCCTGCTCGTGGGCACGAACGGGGGCTCTGTGGCACATTGCACTGACATCTTCGTACTTGTGGGGAATGCAAGTTCAACTTTCTGACAATATTGAACAAACTAAAAATTGGAGGAGTGAGCACATGTCATTGTCTAGCTTCGTGGCTTCAATCCGTTTCGCAATGCCCGTCGCGAAGTCGCCAAAATAGCTAGGCCAAAATGCGTTCTGCTCCGGGGCCGGGGATCCTCATGTCATGCGGAGCACATTTCGGCACACATGTCTCTCCCATAGCAAAAACGCTGCAGTACCTGGGTTCTCCCTTGGGCTCATTGGAGGGTCCAAGGACAAACTGCGGGTACAGCCATTCTGCCTGCCAACTGGATTGCCCTTCTCTGCCCATTGAACATCACGCTGCAAGGAAACTCAGTAAGAACTGGCACCCCAACATTGAAATGGGTAAATCTGAAATGCGTGCTTTTGGACTGTGCCCCATTGCCGTAAAGTGAAACAATGCCAACCCCGCACATGTTGGAGCTCCCCCTATGTCGGCATTTATTCTTGCGACCTCATTGTTGAATACGGTAGGTCAAAGGAGTAAAACCTAAAGGAAGCCAACGACCCGGAGGTGCCTTTAACTTGCACTAATGCCAGTACCTATTTTTGAGACACACCCATACAAGAGGCTGCGTCATCCTAACCTTCCCATCCTTTCCAGCGATCTCGCGTTCGTTTTTTTGCAGAACCCCATCTCATTCCCCAAGAAAACCGGATGATTAGAACCCATGAGACCCAACCCTCCAACGTCCTCATTGCGCTCGCACAGGCGCCGGGACAGCTGCTGTATGCCGTCTTGCTGGCAGAAGTTTGGCAGCAGCCTGTCGTGCGTACGTGGATATTGTGGAAAGCTGGATGCTTCCCAGCCAGACTCACTTCCCATCGAGCGGATCGAAACAAACTGACCGAACCTTTTATTTACCACTTTAAATGGCCCTCTCAAAAAGTGACTCAAGTCCCGGAACTCAAGGAGAAAGCGGTATTTTAAGGGCCTGTCTGACGTCCATACATGTCCAAAGACCGGAGCTTCGGATTTTCGTTGACGTCGATCCATCTTTCAGCTAGCACTGTGTATGGTGTTGCCCGATTTCAGCGAACTGAGCCTTATTGCACGCGTTCTGCGCATTGACTCGGCTGGTTGGGTATTCCCAGGCTACCTGAAAGAGTACTACTTTAGGGCAAAGGCCCTGAACCTTTGCCCTTTGATACTGTGGATGGACGAAATCCTGCACCACCTAAAACACCCTGGGGTGATGCTTCCCCTGTAAATACCAACAAACAATAATTTGCTACGGTTTCAAAGTGGTGCAGGATTTCGTCCACCCACAGTATGGAGTGAATCTGGGCAATGGGCTACTGTCCCTGATGGCTGTGAACTGAGTCGGCACTAGTTTACGAGCGGCCGGGAAAAAACCCAAAGTCCTCACCTGCCCTCGCACAAACAAATACTTTGTAGAATGGTTCTAGCCGTGTTTCTCCATTCTACTAGGATCCGTTTCAAGAGACGGCTGAAACCGTAGGGATACTATAAAAAGATAGCCCTTGGGGACCTTGACTAAGATTGAACCCCAATGGAAACCAAAAGGTCAAAAGTCGAAAAATGGGCAACTGAGCCTTAGAAATTGTGGTCAAGAAATCCTCCCCGAAAGTAAATATGAGACCCCCACCCCCAACAAGGGTCAGCTCTAACGCTTCAAGGGGTTGAGGCACCCAAAACATTTCGTCTCGCCAACTGCGACGTCAACAAATGGATCACACATCTGGACAAACTGTGGCAATTCAGTTTATGGCTGGGACAATTCTATAATGCCTTGATGAAATGACTACACGCGAGACTACATTTTAAATCTCACTTCCTGCGTGGATGGCCCACAAAGCAAATCCAAACCTGTTGTTCTCCGCTAAAATGGTCCTCCCAAACGACAGTTTCAAGCCCATGAACTCCGGAAGCGAGACTAGGTCCTCCGGTAGAGAGGCTAGACTTAGAATAAGGGTACCCTTTTTCTGTAGTCCGTTTAGCAGGGGAACCCTCCCAACCAAAAAAGGGGCGAGAAAGGTTGATCTAGTTGTAGCTAAGATGACGTCACCCAAAACTTGGTTGCTTTCTGCTCCCCTGCCGAAAAGTTTCTGCTCTCCTGCACTACTGGGGGACCTCGGAGACAAAGTCTTGGCCAGCGGCTCGCAGTTGGCGGCGTACTGCGCCATGTGCCCCGCGAGCTCATAGCCCAGCAACTGCATCGTTGGCGTGTGCATCGCCGCCGTCTCGGCGGCGTCTGCAAGGCCCAGGGCGACGTCAAAGACGTAGTGGTGCCCGCCCTCACGGCCCAAAAAGGGGCACAAAGTGAGGATCCAATTGCTTCCCCAATTCTAGGAGCAGTACAGGAGGGCGGTCATGGGGGTCTTTGGATCCTACGAAAATTGCCCCCAATTGGCTGTGGCTCAAAAAGATGTACCCAAAATGGCCCCGAAAGGTAAATGGAAACCAAGACCAAACCCTGCGTAACCCTAGCTCTTAATTTTTGAGCCACGCCCAATTCTAGGACCAGTACCGGAGGGGGGTCTTGGGGGTCTTTGGATCCTACGACAATTGCGACGTGGGTTGTCCTTAAATTCCAATTTCACAGAATCCAGTGCTCCAACTACCAAGCCCCGCTTCTCCCAACAAAAGAACAAAAGGGACAAGGCTGTTTCAAAAGGGCAGCTGGTTGGGGGAGGGGGGCGTTTGGAATCGCACGAAAACTGCCAAAATGTTGTGGGAATTGCTTGCCCTTGAAGTCTCCAGATTTGCCTAATGGTTGTGGGAAGCGGGGCCTTGATTCCTGCGCGCCTTTCGGCATTTGGTTCGCCGGAATGCCAAATGGTTGATGGACATGATTGCCCTCGACTTCACCATGATGCTTGTCGGACATGTTTCCAGTTACCCAAAAACGCCTTCACCACAAGTAAAATCAGTTGTAGATCTCACGTGCGGGACCGCTTGATTGAAACAATGAAGGTAGGTGTTGGGACCCTTTCATGGGCCAATAGATTTCAGAGACTTGCCAGAATACCCGTAAGTTTGGGGAGAACCAGAACTTTTGTTTGCGGGGATTGGTGCTACCTGAGGATTCGTTTTCAGCCGAACCATTTGGCTCGGACCCAGTTTCTGAGAGTCCATGCTGGCTTGCAGGAGGGGCAGTGCAGCGAGCCTGTCTCCTGCTTGAAAACCCCTCTGCTGGGTTCCCTGTCAGTGGACAGGAGGGCATCCCTTTTTGTCTTACTCTTTCCTAGAAATGCATGCATCCATGTCTCATCCCATGAAGCCACGACACTTGCTCCCCTTAGGCTTGGCGGGTAGAAGGGCCCGTTTGGAGGGAATCTTCAGCCCCCCCCCCCCCGCCCTTTTCGTGAGCAACCCTGCAAATACCTGAGGCGGCATTCACCCATTCCCCATGATATATTGGTGTGTCCCTCAAAATACACAGAAAACACCCACCACGCCACTTGCAGACTGCTTTTATTTTGTCGCGCTACGACTGCTTTTCTGGGTTGCCCCATATTTCGCTTTCACAAACTCCGTGCAACAAAACAACTCGCTTGAGATTGGCCTTCCACAGTGATGTGCAAAGCCAACCTTTCAGAGAACATGCGGCCATGCGTCAAAATCCCACACCCCCAGTGAACATCCCAATCTCCACTAAAATAGACTAAAACGGCTGGTGCACCTACCCCAAAATGGTACCATTGGTTTTCACCCACAACCAGATGTGGATCCAAACTCCTTGTGGGATTTTCTCGCGTTTTTTTGGGGGGTTCGGCACCTAAAAACACCAAAGGCGGTTCCAAAAGGCGCGACGAGCGGCCACCAGCGTGATGCGCGCAGGCAGGCTCCGCAAAAGCCGCAGGGGCCGAAGGCCCTGGGTACCAAGTCAGCTTCCCCTTTTTGACCGTGTTGAGGCCAACAACTCAAGCGGCACAGGATGCCGTTTGTTCCCCTCGTGGTTTAGTCGGCGCTTGAGAGGGACACCAACAGGCAGTTGAAACAACAGTGGTTTAAATATGATATGTTCATCACCTACCAGTGGTTAGGCAAGGTTAGGCAACAATGGTCCTGGTCTTTGGTGCAGGGTGCGGGGGTTGTTCCCCCAAATAGAGCTTGAGGCCGTACACCCAACAGGGCGGACCAATGGTTGGTAGAGAATCCTGGCAAGTCTGGTTGGTGGTTTGGATTGGTTGTTTGGAGGGACCCAAATGCACCAAGCAAGGGATACTTGATTATGGGGGGCTGCAACTGAATCGCCAGGAGGGACCCGGGGGTTCAAATCCCCAAACCACCAACCCCAAGCACCGAGTACAGGATACCTGATTCTGGCAGCTGCAACCAAATCGCGAATTCCATGGCGCAGTGCAGTCCAAACATGTGATAATCCAAACCACCAATGGTTACCTAAGAAGTCTACCTTGGATGGAACAAATGGAACCCCAAACTTGGAATGGGTCCGTCTCCAAGCGCACATAACTTGCAACCGGCGAGCCCTGTTTGAGATTAAAAGTTGCACACATCAGTTTCCCTCAGGGTTTCCGTCCAAAACCCAAACCAAGCAAGTGCAGGAGCTAGTTTGCAACTAGCTTCCGCGTAAGGGACTCTAGTTGAAGGCAGCTCTGCGCAAAGATAGGATGAAGACAATAACGCAGAGAGAACACACGCGTGAGCGTGTGCCGCTGGAATAGAAATCGCGAAAAACTAAAAGAAAGATAAATAAGAGAAACGATAAAGGAGAGAAAGAGGCAATGACTATATTGTTGAAACTGCCGTCCCCGGCACCGCCGGCTTTATTCGAAAGCGTACTTTCAGCAAAATCGTGGACCCTCAAACTGGATGTCGTCGATCGCCTCGTGCGGCGCTTCTGGCGGACAGGGGCACGATCTCCAGGGCCGCGGGCGGGTGCGTTGGTGCAGCTCCAGCACATGAGCCTCGGGCGTATGGCAAGGTGGAACAAATCTAGGTGCAACGCAACAAGGGGCTCACCGCAAAGATTCCTCACTTCCGGATGGGCCAAACAAAATCCCAACTTTTCCTTACAACTAAAATAGTTGATTCCCCATTGTTTTCAACCATCGTTTTCAAAACTCAGCTGTTTCCCTTGGATTATGCTGGCTTTCTGAAAAGAAGGATCCCTGGAAAGAATGGGGAAGTGTCCGCTAGAACAAACATGGAAAGAACATGGCCCCACCTTAACCAAATGGCTGAGGGATGTTGAGGGTCCCAAGGGCTAGGGAGTGGGGCTCCCAATTCCTGGCAAGCCGCCGCAAGGAATTAGGAAACTCCAAAGACCACGCCCCTCCCTGGCGCCCGCGAACGGCTCACTTCCAGGGGCGCCCTGTCACAAGATACGTTTAGCTCAGAGAAAAGAAACAAAGAAACAAAACTACCCAATGTATGCCCAGTGGGACCGCTATGAAAGGGGTCCCAATATCATTGTGGTCGGTATAGTTTAGTCATTGTTTTGAGTTTCGGCCTTGTCTTAGGAAGCAATGTGCGGGTTGCCTTACGAACTCTCCCGCCACCCGTGGCAACACAGGATCGCTCCAAATGCTGGACTTCAGTTTTTCTTTTTTGGTGTCCCGGGAACCTAGGGGCTTCCCAGCTTGCATCTGCGCTGTTGCCACGAAAAACAAAAAAAGGCGTGCCATTTGCCGGTCGACCGGGCTGCCTTCCAAACAGGAGGGAACCAGACACACACACGCACAGAGAAGTTTGGTCCACGGAAGCCAGGCCCCGCGGTTTGAAAGCCTGGCGGTTTTTTCATCCGCGGGAGACCGGGCCGCTGAGCCAAAGAGACACCCCATCTGCTTTCAAAAAGAAAACAGCACGAGTTTTAGGCGTGCCTCCCATTTGTGGGCTGGTGCCCAGTTGGCTCGATTCGCCTATAGGAAAGGCAGGTGCTGCTTCAACCCCCTGGCGATTTCTCGATTTTCTTTCAGCTTTCCTCACAAAAAGCACGCAGAATGGGGTGTTTAGGCCATTTGCGCAAGTCCACTCGAAACCACATACTTCCAGGATGCCCTTTTTAAACCAACGGGTGCAAATATAACAATGGAAATATGCTGAGACACGCCCATTCCCTCCAGGTTGCAATATGGAACAGGGTTCCATGGCCCCTTAAGGAAAGTTTGGTCCAAACCAGGACCCACCTGTAGTTCCATGCAAATGAAAGGTTTGAGGGAAATCCATCAGGCAAACGCCTTAAGCAAACAAAGCAATTGAATGCACTCATATCTCTCCATGCAAACATGTCGTCTACATTCATCCAACGATGCCACTCCGTCAAACCATCAAACCGTCAACATCTCCCCTCCGTTTCCCAGTCGGGAGGCAACATCCGCTGCGGTGATGGGCCAAAGGCTCCCGTCCAGCGGCACCCACATACCCTCCGCGGGCAGGCAGTCTAGGCGATTCATGTCGGGGTGTCCGTGCTCCCAAAAGGACAGCAACCAGTCTGGGGGTCCCCTAAGAAAAGACATACCCATACACGCCTACTACCCATGCCCAACATTACCAACTAACATGACCAATCTGGGTTTTGGAATCAGATCGAAATGGGCTAAGTGGGGATTCGATCAGTGTCAACGTCGGATAGGTCCGGAGGACCACCCCTTTAATGAATCAAACAACTTTGGATGATGCGTTTGGGTATATAATGATGAAACAAATGGCAATCGATCGCCCCCAGTATGGTCTTCCGGTGTCCGAAGTTAAGCCCAGGGTTGGGTAAGCTGAATTGTGGATTGCAATTTGGCAACAGGGAAACGGCACCAAAAGCACTCGGACTCACCCACTGAAATCAAGGGAACTGCCAGGCCCCGCCCACATGTGGCTGTGGCTCAAAAAAGTGAAATTCCAAAATGGCACCTCGGTAAATGGAACCAAAGACTAAAACCCGCGGTTTGCCCCAGCTCTTTAATTTTCAGCCATACCCCTGTCAGGTATCTGATCCCCACAAGACCCCATGACACTTGCATTCTTTTTAGGCCTTCGGGTTGCGGAAGTGGACAGTTTCGCTTTCGCAGCCAGCGCTGAGAAGCCCACTCAAAAATCTGAAGGTTTCGCCATCCTGGATGCTGACACGGCAACAACTGCAGCACAACCCAGCTGAACATCAACACCCCCACTGCCGGAGTTGATGGCCCGAGCCGACAAGCCGACAACTTGCTCTTCCCCAATGCACGTACCGACGTACTGGACGGATGAATGCACCGAGCGCGCCGAGAGTCCCAAGGTCCTGCCACTTGGTGGGGGAAAACATGGACTAAAGCCTACGGTCCAATTCCTGGCGGTTTAATTTTGACTCATACCCAAGTGGCTTTGGGAAGCTTGGTCGAACTTTATCTCCCAGTTGAAGGTTCACAAAACAGAGACTCAACCATGATTTCCCGAAAGCTCGCCATTCCCACAAACACCCAGATTCCACTCCCAGGAGTGAGATGTCGCCTGCTGAAAGGTGACAGCGAAAAGGAGGCTGGCCACATCCTCGAGGCGCTTTCCCCTCTGAACGCCAGCCAGAACCTCAGCAAAGAGCCCTTTGGACACGGGTGGACAGAAAGAACAAACCTACACCGGGCTGAGAATCGATATGTCTTTTTCCTCTGGGTAAGTACCAAACAAAAGAACGACAAAACCAACATGGCGGAATTCTGCCATCTAACTTATTCACCCAAGGGTAGAAGTGCTAAAAGGGATTGGGCCGGCCATGGGGCGCCTCCGGGAAGTCGAAGCAGGTTTCACGATCAACATAGTGAAAACCCTTTTGTGGGGCTGAGGTGCGCTCAATAGTTATCAAGGTTTACTTGCCACATTGATCATCGCTCAACCAGGGTCTCGCTTGAAAAAAGTAGCCACAAAACCGCTTGAACTCAATAATGTTTTCCGGAGGCCCCCGAAACAGGGGGCTTCCTTTTGGTCCGTTCAATCAATAGTCCCTAATTCCTCGCACGCGAGCGATGACCAGGACCCAACTCATGAAAGCTCATCCTTGGATCCTGCTCAGCATAGCCTTCGGGCCTCTGTTGGGGGACCATGTCTTGCTGCCACAAAATATAATAAATACGAACTGACCAAGCCTTTAAAAGCAAGCAGCGCCATATTCATCGGCTTGAGCCAGACTTGCAGACTTGTGGCTGCAGCTCGGGTGATCTCTGGCCAACAAACTTGGACTTGCTCCATCATTCTCAGGGCCGGCCCAGGACTCTGCACCTTGATGTGGGTGTGGATCAAAATAAAACCACCAGGAATTGGACCGCAGGTTTTAGTCCATGGTTCCATTTACCAGGGCAAGCCATTTTGGGCACATATTTTTGACCCACGGCTATGTAAAAACGGAGTCACACAAGAGAAAGGTTTTCGGTTTGACCCCCGTCTTTGGTTGGGCGCCTCTGAATAAGTATTAGTGCACAAGACCCCCCAAAGGAAGGACATTGGCAAAATGTTCCCCGAATTACTCCGGGGGCGGGGGGCGTTCCTAGTTGGGGGTGGGAAGGATGCCCTAGTTCTGCTTGTTGGTTTTGAAGAGAGACATGCTTACGACGACTACTGAACAAAAACAACACCTGGAAGAATAGGCACCCGGGCACGATCACTGGCCCAGGTGTGCTTTAGAAAAGCAGAGGGCACTGGAAAATGATAGCCAACCGAAACCGCCTACGAATCAACCCCGCATTGAAAGAATGGTTGACCAAGTTTAGACGATGAAACTCCGGAACGGTAAACACTCGTGGTTCTATCAACCCCCATGGTTTCAATGGTGACAACTGAACTTTAGTTCTAGCTCAACGCTAGTTCACCAGAGGCGACAAATCCCTAAGGCGTCAACCAAAATGGGCTCGTTCTTATTTCCCCGTCTCGGTCCCTCCCGTCGTTTATTCCGTGAGGTCGCAGGTCAAGCGAGCCTGCCGCAGCAAACCACTAGCCCAAACGCATACGTATGGCCAACCCAAGTTCCAGCCGTAGAAGAGTTGGACCGCCCAAAGGAGACTCCTTTCAGAAGCTGTGGCTTTTCGGGGGTTCCGAAAAGGTCACCGGATTTCCTCAGCTGCAAATTACAGGTGGCTTTGAAACTGCCACTTTGGGAGCTTCTTACTAGGGAAATGGAGGAAACCCCTTATACTGTTGGCAAGTGCATTCACAGCTTATAGTTCAACCAGAGTTCACCAACCAAAGGTAAACAACCCTGAGGCGCCAAAATGGGCTCGTTCGCATTTGAGGAACCCCCGTTCCACGGGTTTCACCTCCAATTGACTTGGACCCCACCGGCGAATCGACGAATCGAGGGGCGGTGACCAGGGCGGCACACACCACGCCCAGGATGCAGCGGCGAGCTTGAAACGCCCACCAGTGCGCGGAAAAGTGTTTGCCTCAAAACGCGGCGGCGCAGCAGAACAAGCCTCCTGCAGCTTAAAAATGGAACACGCAAAATAGCACAAATCGCAAATTAAAAATGGAAAACACAAAGAACATAAACGCACCCATGTGTAGAGGAAACTCCTTTCGGGCCACCCCTCCTTTGGGTCTCATGTTCATTTGTAGAAAATAATTCATGAGGCAATTGTCAGAACAACCAGCTGTCCCCCGTGGTTTGGATTGTCGGGATTTCATCTCCAAGCCACCGGGCTTACCACTCCAAACCACTCGACACGCCTCAAATTTGGGCTGCAACTGTTGGCAGCTATCCAACCAACGACACAAGAGCTCGCTTCCATTTCCCTAAGCCCTAAAAACCCTCAACCATTATCCTCTCACTGAGCTGGAACACCCTTTTTCCCTGTCAAGGCCATCAAGTTGAAACAAATAATCTTTGCCGGTTGGGGCGCCAGTCATTCGATTTCTCCGAAAGCTGGTAGGTAGTCACACCGAAGCTTCGGCCCCTCTCGGTTCCGAGCTGCCGGACAGCAAATCCCAGAGCAACTCTTCCAGGCCCTGGGCAAAGACGTGGGGACCTCTTTCTTTTTTCCCAATCCCATGTGCCGTTCGCCATATCTTTCACCCACCCACTTTTTGTTTTGGCGACTTAAAACGAAAACACCCCGTGGGATCTCAAAAACCGTTGGGTTTTCAGGTGGCTCATCGGGTTCAACTTGGGCCAAAACCGTGGGGTCCTCTGGGGACAAAACGTCGCCGAGGGTGGCCTGTGTTCTTTTTGCTTTGGGACTTGTCGTGTGTTTTGAGGGTAATATTGACCCCATATGAATCAACCAACCAACTCATTGATAGGGGGGTGCTTTTCCCTCGGTTTCGTCAATATCGGGTTCAGCGTTAATTACCCGTTTTGGGGTGGTTGCAGGGGGACCAGATGGACAATGACCACGCTCTTGGTTTTCGGAAAGTTGTGGCACCCGAGCAAACCTCGGGCCCACAGGGCTTTGCAATCAAGCCGCGGTAAAAAGACAGGGCCAACACGTGCCTGGAGGCCTACAAGACCCTTAAAGGATGCCCATGACTTTGGGCGCCAGGACGTTCGCTTTTTTAAACGCCTCGGGAACTCATAGGAACCTTTCAGAGCCCACCACCAACAAACCTCAAAAGGCCCACCCCATGAGCTATCTGGACCGGCTCGGTGTTGAACGCTTTCCGGTTTGTGGGGAAAGCCCTCGCCATTTTTAGCAAAGATCGAAGGCTTTGCCGGTGAAGCTTTCAATCCAAAGGTCAAGCCTGTCTGCAAAACAACGCCCGACTGATTTCGGAAAGCAAGAGCGAGGGCTGAGCGGGGCTTCGGGGTAATAGGACTTGGGCTCTTGACTTGTCGAGGAAACCTCTCCCGCTTTGGCCCCTTGCTGACCAAAAGGATGAAGCCGGTCAATTGAAAACCACCTTCAAGTTTGCAAGCACCGCAGAGCCGAACCTCCCACAAAACCCCTCGGCCTCTGGCCCTGGAAAATGAAGGCAGGACTTTTGGGTCCAAAAGGCTCAAGATCTGGCCATGATCAGCCTCCCTCGCCATCTTCCCCCCCGCCTGCCCTCTGTTCAACGCTTCAGCGAGCAAGGTATCCGGCACCAACGGCAGGCCCGCCGCACCGAAGTGCTCGCTACTCTTCCAGATGCGCAGGCGGCGGTTGAAGGAGGCCCAGTCCGAGTCCGAAGATGCTCCTTTCGTCAACCGGGGCGGTTCCTGAGTGTTTTTGGTGGCTGTTGTTATTGTACCCCCCGTTATTGCGGGCCAGTATGAAAAGAGGAAACACCACCATTTTCAGGCTCCCTACAAGAGACACACACACACACAGCTAATTGAGGCACACCCATCTCCTTTGATTTCCTTGAGAAAGAGTCATGCGGGCGATGTAGCGCCCAGATTCATGAAAAGGCAAAGGATCGTGGAACTCACATTGATAAAAGGAAGGACTCACTGGGATGGTTGTGCATGCACACATGGTTTGACAGGGGTATGTAAAGCTTCCTTTGGTTGACTGCCATCAACAGCTGAGGCTTGCTAGTTCTTGACATATTCCGAACCAGGGTTGTGCTTTGGGCAACCTGTCTGAGATGAGGTTGGCATACCTCAAAAAGGTAACCTGCATGTTTCCCTGCGCTTCTTCTACTTTTTCCCCTGCGTGTTTACGTTCCAATGTTCCATCACAAATCTGCGTGAATTACAATATTTCAGCAACCTGGAGAATGAACAGAGAGACCAACCAATGAACTTCCTATGAGGCCCACAGTGGTCGCAAATCAAGACATTTGTCGAATTCCCTTTGCCCAGACATGTAAGAATACCAAGAAGAACAATGAAATTGTAATCAAAGAACCGCCCGCCCCTGCACCCACATATCGGGTCCTGAAAATTTGCAGGAATGCCAATCTATTCAAGGACTTCCAAGCAAAGAGGTCAGATCCAGCTATGTTTGCCAGGGGCAAGTGGGATAGTCGGGGCTCGGCAAGCGTGTTGCTCACAGAAAAAGTCCAAAGGCCCACCTCGCCTGAGAAGTTGCAGCTCAAAGCCTGGCTCGGAGCTTGGAGAGAAACATGAACCGATAGAGATTGTCTCGGGAAGCTACGTACTCCCTAGATCTCATCGACTCATTTTCGTGTTGCCCTCCCTCCAATGATGGACTGGCGGTCGGAGGGATTTGGCAAAACGAAAGCTTTCCTTGGCAGAAGCCCCGCTCCGTCCACTTGGTTCCCAAACCGGAAATGACTTGCTGGTTCCCGGCAGGAAATGAGGGAATGACCCCCAAAAAACTTGCAGTGCAGTCAAATCATGGAAAACCAGCAAAAAAGACAAACAAGTCTGACAGACAAAAGCTCAGGCAAGCCACCTCCTTTCACTTCCCCTCCAGCATCGGTATGTTTGTTTTTGGTTTGCTTCAAAGAAATTGAAAATAAAACACAACAACAAACATCTGGCAGAAAAAGCTCAGGCAAGCCACCTCCTTTCATTGTCCCCTCAGGATTGTTGAAAGCCGCTCCGGCTCACCCCAGAGCTTTTTGTTAGGCAAAAAACCCATATAGTTGTCAGCTGTTGGGGACAAAAACCAAAAAGAAAGGTCGAAGGGCCACGGGCCACGCCTGTGGCTCCGACTGCAGCCACTGCAGCAGCCGCGGCGCCGGGCTCTTCGACGGCCGAGCGCGTTGGGGCCGAAGCCGGCGCTCCCAGCGGAGGAAGTGGCGACATGGGCGACCTGCGATCGATCGATGGATCCGAAGGTCGGCGCCCTCAGGCTAACATGAGGAAGCTCCCCCAATTGGCCTTTATAAATGGAAGTAAGTCTTCCAAACAGGTCCTGGGAGCTTCCATGTTGGGGGAGGGTAAACTTGCTGGTGTTCAGCAGGGAATGAGAGAATGACTCCTATATACCATCCCTTGTGATTTCCTTTCAGGGGACTCCTGGACCCCATCCCTTGTGGTGTCCTTTAAGGAGGCTGGGTTCATTCCCTCAGTTCCTGAGCACCAGCAAGTAAATAGGGGCTGGGGAAAAAATGAAAGAACATATCCATCCATGTGGTGGTCAATAGGCGTCTGGGAAAAAATGGTATTCCATCCAGAAGCATCCATGATCATCTCAAGATATCCGTCTCAAGGGCCAGAGAGACTTCAAATCCTCTTGAAATGGGGTGCGACGCCGCTCCTGCTTAGTGGCCGGAACCCCAAACCAGCGCCCATTTTTAGAGGAAGTTTTTGTTGGTTGCATGCTGATTTGCTGGCGAGAATATAGAGGTCTGGGAAAAAAGAGGTATCTGTGCAATTCTCATCTTCCCCAGGCAACTAAAAGAAAGGATGTTGTGTCGGACCCTCTCCCCAAAATATAGTACAACAATAGCGGTTTTCCTTGTGGCGTTCCTTTACCACAAAGAACAAAAAGGGCACCCTCAAAGAACCCACACAAATGTTGATGCACAACCCCGACTTTAAAAGACAGGGGCTTCCCTGTTTGGGGAGTCCAGTGGAGTTTATTGATCAGGGGTCCTAAATGATAAATGGGTGTGTTGTCATTTTAGGGACCCCTAAAAATGAGTGGTTTTCCTTGTGGCGTCCCTTTAAACAAAAATAGAAAGGTGTTGAGACATGCCCAGATAGAGGTTTGAAGGGACAGCCCACCAAAACGACCCGGACAAATTCGATCCCATTGACCGTTTGGTGTCACCCAGTGTGAAATCTAGTCCTGAAACTCCAAAGGTGATCGCTTGTGGTTATTTTCCGTTTTGGGCTCACCTAAAAAAAACTAACCCAGCAAAATGTTTGAGGATATCGCCTTCTCACTTGCCCAGACAGGACACGGAGATGGAAGGGATCCACCTTTCTGGACCTTGACTATGGACCAAAACAGGAAACCCAAAAAGGGATAAAGGTCGGCTTTGCAGAACTGAGCCTCAGATCAAAGGCCCCAATAAGGGAATCTGGCTTTGGCCAAGCCTGGATCAGCATCTTCCGAATTTCCCCCAGGAAAGCCCCCCCGGTAACGACCAACGGTCGATTTCTTGCCGAGCCACGCTGGCGCCGCGTGGGCAGTTCGCCATCGCTGGTGTTCCAGCGAATCAGCGCGCCAAGCTCCGGGGTGCGCCTCCGAACAGGGCTGTGGGAAATGGAGTCCACATCCGTGATATAGCAGAAAGGGCCTAACCTCAAAGAAGTGGGGATAAACCCCTTGAGCTTCCGGCCCAACACCCCCCCTACAGAGGGAGATTCCCGGGTCAGAAGGGGAGCCCCAAACACTAACGCCCCTGAAAAAAGATAAACCCCTTGATCCCACGACCCTGCTTCCGATCCTTGTCGATTGGCCCCCCCCAAAAAGAGGCGACACTTTTCATTTTACGACTGCCGTCTTCCAAAAAGCGACCAAAGTCCAGGAACATTGGAGTCTGCAACTCATTGTGAGGCTTGCTCGCGCAAATTGGACGAATAAGTTCCAAGACGTGGAGCTTGTTTGTGAAACCGCTCCGAACCTTCAACACGCTAGGTTTCCCACAGACACATCTCCCTTTGACGATTTGGCTAGAAATCACCAAATCGTCGAAAATAAGGGGCTCGCTTCAGTTTCTGGACGGCGTCACTTTCCCTTTGGCTGTTCCAAGCCTAAAGGCGACCCCCGAACTCCCGGGCCCCGAACTCCCGGGCCCCCGAGCACCTTACGAGCTCGAACCCTGGCACAGTTCCATATCAACCCCGGCATTGGATGCTCCGCGGCTTGCCAATTTCTAGGAGCCCAGTGGTGGCTTAAAACACCGCCTATGTCAACTGTCGGATTCTGTTCGCATAGAAAGTGCCAGGTTGATGGGAGAGCGGGGGTTGGACGGGAACGTGGGCAATAGCCAAAAAAAGGGCGAAGAATCCGCCTTGTCCTTGGCGATGCCACACAGAATCATCAGATCACTGGAAGAAAAGGGGGGAGCCACGTGGGATGTTCAGTCAACAGCTGAGTGCCCGAATCCGAATAGACAACTTAACAAGTGATAAGTGACTTGAACCAATTGATTGGTTTTGCTTCTAGGAAGCCCGCTTGCATGTGTCATGCAAGCGCTTCTGGACTATGCCGCACCCTACCTGCGTGCGGTTTGATTCCATATTTGCGACACATTCAGTGGATCATTTGAGAGTGGAAGCCATTCTGCGGGCAGTGGTTTCGGCACATTCCCATGTCAAAAGCCCGCAGCCACAAGCAGCATACCCGAAAAGCGACTTCTGAATAGTCTGGGAGGATGACGCTTCTTTGCTCACTTGGCCAGTGACCAGCCCAAAAAAGTGTACACTTTTTTGGGCCACTAAACTTACCCCTTAAAACTCCAAGCCCTGGGGAAGTTAATATTTTACAGATATATAGCCCATGTTACCCAACAAGTTGAAAAGTTGTGTTTTTAAGAGGTAAGTAAAATAAAGGGAGAGCCACCAAGGAAAAAAGTGCAAAGTGCGTCCACTGGCTCGGTGAGTTTGAGAAACTGGATGGGTGGCTCGGGGAGAGGCCTGGCGATTCAACTCGCGGTTGGTCACCCGCTATGAAACTTCAAACCACCCAGCTGTAGAAACATCTCCTGGAAACTCGTTTCAAGCGACCCTTGAAGGGGCAAAACGGGCAGTTCCCAGCATGAATTGGCCCTTCGTCCCGGTGCCTTTTTGATTTCCTCCAGGTTTCCCTGCAAAAAGTGGAAACGGCTGCTGGGCTGCCGAATCTGCGCTAATTTTACTTCGTCGTTCCGCGCTCCGAGGGCCATGAGAAAACAGGCATCCTGTGTTTTTGCGCATGAACATGCTTTATTCAACGAGGAGCACCACATAAACACATCTAGAAACACGGTACTTCTTGATATGCGCCTCCACAACTTGCATGTCCAACCTGTCGACATATTTGCGCAAGAAACCTCGATGTACTTCTGGGGGGCTTCCTCTCTTGGTGTCTTAGGCACTTTGAAGGCGTTGCCGGAGATATATACTCCATTTGCCTAAGTCCCCCGGAAAAGAAAAAGAAAACAAAAAAACGGTAATCATAATTTCCGTTTACAACCAACAGGGCAACATATAAAATATTCTTCACCGAATAAAACAAGTATCTGCGACTCGACTCGACTTGCGACTCGATTTCGACTCGGCTCGTTTGCGCCTGGTGAGCGTGTCCCTGTCCGAGGCCCTGGGCCAATTCTCGCCGGGATCGCCGCCAAAGGCGCGGAGCACCAGGCACTCCCCCGGCTCCAGCGCAAAGCCTCGGACAAATTCGCCCGCGCCTTCGGCATGGAAGACTCGCAGGCCCAAACTGGGGTCTGTTTTTTCAAGCCCCTCTGCAAAAAGTGGTTCACCTTTTTGTGGGTTTAGTGGAAACCCAACTTGATTTCTCAAAAAAGGTAAAGTCTGAAGATCCAACCCAACAGCAGTCAAGCAAAGCACCTGGAATTGAAAGGTTCACCTTTTGGGGCCATGACTTTACAAATAGACCAACATAGGACAACCAAAAGGTCAGAAGGTTGGCTTTGCGAAACTGATAAAAATGGTGTTGAAGTTTGTTGAGGCGTGTTCTAATCGGAAACTAAAGGACAACCACTATTTGATTTTTTGGGGCCCCTAAAAAGGACTCACCCATGCTCGGTTATTCAAGGACCTCCTCAAGGCGCCGGCGTGGAAACAACCTTGTACCTTTCTCTTGGGTGCTGTAGATACCCCAGCAAAAAGTCTAGCTTTTTGCTGGTTGAAAGGACATGTGAGGGGATTCCAAGAATTTAAAGTCTAAAGATCCAATCCAATAGCAGTAGAGTTTTGTGGCAGTTGATCGTAAGGGCAACTCATCCAGAAAGGTGAAACGAGCGCACCACTGGAGGTCTGATTGCCGAAGTGGGCTTGCCTCGGGAAGAATGGGGCAGGTAGGTGTGCCATGACGCGGCGCCGCTGTTTAGGGCTCGCAAAGGAAAGCTGGATGAAAGTAGCCTCGAGCGGACCTTTGGTTCGCCACCCTGGCTATGAACGATTCAATATTTCAAAGAGCGTCGAACCTTGGACTTCGCAGGCCACTTACAGCCGTAGCTCCCCAAACGGACTTAGAAATGGAGCGCACTTCCTCTACAGAGAATGAGACATGAAAACATAGGGCATGGTTTCCTTTAAGGAAATCCCTGGGTTCATTCCCAGCACTAAAATGGTCGTGCCAAGGAAGTCCCGGCTAGGCCTCCCCGGCCTCCGGTTCGGGCGCGTGGGGCGCCAACTCGAAAGCGCAGCTGGCTGATCGACGGGGTGAGCATCCGGTGAGCCTCCCGTTGCGTCGCTGTTTTGGTTGGACTGCCACAAGTAGGGATGGAGGCTCAGGCGTTGCCAAAGTGGATTTCCATGCCCAGTCTTGCCCGTAGTTTTGCAGAAACGGATTGCCACAAATGGGAACTCTGTCACCTGTCTTCCCCGCATGTCGAGAAAACGCAACAAGCTGAGAAACCACAACCGTGAGCCACTCTCTCACTCGGTCATGGGTGCAAGGGGCTTCTCAACAAAATACATACAGTAGACTCCCAAGAAAACATGCTCCCCCCAAAAAACAAAAATACAACTAAGAAAAGAAAAAGAAACAAATATCAAGCATGACGCGTCACTCCGACAGCAACCTTCATTACGGTGCCCGAGGGCGCAAAAAGCGATTGCTCAGATCCATCCCCTTGTGTTTGGTGGACATCAAAATTATGTCGGGGGACAAAGAGGCCCCGGCGCAATGGTGAACTCCCGCATCAAATCAATGGGTGAATTTCCGAAACCCCCAAACAACGGACCCAAGAACAGAACCTTCATGGGTGAGGTCGCACACCAAAAATCCTGGGTTTGAGTGGGCACAATATGCAATTCAACTGCGCACCCATTGGTGGACATCGTTCGCATGGGGACGTATGTCCACCAACCCTTGAATGCTCAAGGCCAAATTTGCCAACATCATTTGGGGCAACTCAAAATATGTCCTTTTGACACCCCTCAAGTCGAAAGCAACTCGGGGTGTGGGTTCTGCATACCAAGCCCCACCCTTTTGGTAGCCCAACTGCGCCTCCGGAAAAACAATGTTCTGCCAAGTGCAGCTGCGGGGCTCTAACATTAAGCGACCAGTGACAATACGACACGGTTTTGGGGCCTGCGGGACCCCGCCGAACATTTTTCGAAAGGTGCAACTCACTGATTGGGCGAATGTCGACCTGGATTAACTCAAGGAAAGCTTACAAATCGGGGCGGTTCACCTCCCTTGAAAACGCACCCCAAAAGAGTACCTGTATATAAAAAGACACAGACAACTGTCGGCTTTCCTTGAAATCGGAAGCGCCCTGAGCATAGGTTGCCTCGTGCAAAAATCGATGGCCCTGGTAAATAGAATGAAACCAATCAACACCAGTGCCGTCCCTTTTCAGCCAAACTAAGCGAAAAAGGACACCTATCTAGGTTCTCCAGTAGAGAGGTTAGAATAAGGGTACCCTTTTTTCTGTAGTCTATTTCAGTAGGGAACCCTCCCCTAAAAAAAGGAAAAAGGGCACTACTGGGGGACCTAGCTGTGGTTTTGAGGAATTCCCCTTCGATTTTGCTTCCGCCTGCAGCTCTGCGTTGGCATATGGGATGCATACGCCCCGCGCCGAAGTCCTGACCGAATTTCCGGGCGTCCTACAGGCTTCCAAAATCTAACTCAAGGCAACGTCCTTTGGGATTCAACTGATCACTAGACCAAGGTGAAAGGGCAACTGGCAAAGGCTACAGCTCTCCAACTGGTAGCTCTAGTGTGTCCAAAGGATGTTCAGAGGACCATGAGTTCTGGAGAAACAGGGGCTAGAGCCTTTTGTTCTTGGCTGCTCTTAAAGGCATGTAACATGAGCTTGTGTTGCCAAGAGTCTCCAGGAAAACTTTGCATTTGATCCTGCTTTTTTGCTGGAAAAAACCCATCAAAACAACTGGTAAGATAGGTTTTGTTGGCTGATGTGGAGCAAAACTTCAAGGGATGCCCATGGAAAATGACTCAAAAGCCTTCCCTGCCCGAATTTGCTATGAAAAGGATTGGTTGGAGCATGCGGGGCAGCCGAGGGGGGCAACCCAAGAATGCGAAATAATACGGGTGAAATTGTCTTGTTGGTTTTTGGAGCCAGACCTTCCCAATGGGTCAAAAATAGGTACCCCAAATGAAACCCTAGTAAGTGGAAACATGGACCAAAACCTGCGGTCCCATGGTGGTTTAATTTTGACCCACAGCCACATGAGCTCTGTTGAACCTCCCGCTTCCACAGAAACTCCAGCAAACACACTGGAGATGGTAGCCCGACCACTAGAATCATATCCAACCGACCTGTACTAGACTACCTCAGCTTTGGCTCCCGACTGAAAATCACATCTCTAGATTATGACCTGTATTTATTCAGCCTTAGATGTAAACCGATAAAGCTCAAGTAAGAGACGTCCCAGACTTGGGGGGGGTCCAACAAATCCCACATGGACTTGTCATCAAATAAGTAAGCCCCTGAACAGGCTGGTCCTCCTCCCCGGTCCCCCTTCAACACAACCCCAAAAGTGTTGGTACTAAGAAGGCCTACATTGGTTAACAATCTTGTATCATTGTTGTTGTTTTTATATCTAGCTAGTGTTTAACTACAACGTTCAGTGACGCATGCCAAGTCTCAACAGGAAACCATAGAACTGGGACACCCCAACCACCACCCACAGACACGCACACCCACAAGCACGCGATTTCCCTGTTGGTGGATATTAGTCTTTCCGAGAAGTTGTAGAAGATCCCCACAAGACCCCACAAGAAGGGTGGACATTGTGGCAACGTTCGGTAAAGACGTAGGAATTTACTGTAGACATCTTAAATCTTGATGCTGTTTCAAGGGACGTTCAACAGGAAACCCACCATCCTAGGGAACCAACTCCGATACTGAGAATCGCCCGCCCGGGTGATAAGAGGACCCGAGCATCGTGTCTGCGCAAATGCCCGTGAAGTAGAGCGAAGGCCGAAGCGCTGCCGCCAGTGGAAGCGCCAAGAGGAACGGACCAAAGCCCATGGCTCATGACAGCGGCCACCCTCGCTGGCGCCCATGGGGACTCCCTAGCAGTGAAGGCCCCACAGGATTTTGTTGGATTTGTGCGAAAGGTGATGGTAATCGTCGAGGCGGTCCGGTTTTAAGGTCGGATGCTCTCACTTGCTGGAAACTAGAAGGATTTGCCGAACATAGACCCAAAAAGGGGCGAAGCGATGAGATAGTTGGAATCCATTCCTCCCGATCCACCTTACCAGCCCGCGTTGTGGTTCGATCTGTTTCGCGGACTGCAACAATTACTTGGCATGTCGGTGATTCTGAAGGTTGGGTCTGTGGTTTGTGGTCCCTAACTTGGGTGTTCATTGAATATTTTAAGGGGTGCACGGCCAGATTGCATGGTTGGGTGCTTGGGGGAGGGAAGCTTTTCATTACCCCACAAACGGCATGGCCTGACTGTGGCTTCCTTTCAAGCATAAACGAGTCATGTGACTCCCCAGCCCGCTTGAGCCACTGACGCACCCAACGCTGTGGGGATTGCAACCCCCCTTGGTTCATCCACAGCCCTTTGCTCCCTTTGCGTGAACACGGTGCAACTAAAGCAATGAAATGGCAAACAGTCATGCATAAACATATATATATATATAGACATATTTACAAAATCAGTGCCAGCTTTTGAGCGGCTCGGCACCCAACAACGATGCAGCATTGTCGGCAGGCTTCGGCAAAGCTTGACCGAGTTTGACTGGCTGGCGGTGCTAGTGGAGCAGTTGAAGATCGGCTGACATTGGAACATCATTTGGTGAGCATGGCCTATGTCATCCCATCCCCTTGCCTTTAAGATCCTTTCGTCTGCCCAAACCTTGTCAGCCCCCTGCCTCACTTGCAACAACAGACCTGGCAATACAAGGTTAGTTACACCATAATGTTGACCCCTGATCAATAAAGCAGCTCTATTAATAGGGGGAAGGGGCCACTCCAAAAGCGGTCTGAATTCCTACTGAACGGAACTAGACGCCCCCTGGCATCCCCCCCACAAAAAAGAATCGGCACGCATCCCACGTATGAACTAGCGGTTTGTGACTCAACCGCGTTGCCATTTCTCGATCACTTCCTGAGCGGAAAGAAGCCGTCTAATGGAAACCCCGAATTAACAAACCCCGGGTTGATTGAAAGCGGCCGTCCACTTTTAGTGGAGGTCCATCACTTTTGGAGGGAACACCCCCTACTATACAACGGGCTCAAAAATCCGCAGTCGACATCACACGACTAAAATGAGCTTCCCAACATGTTTCAAGTCCACTAATTGCTTCTTGCATTTTAAGCTGCTGGTTGCTCGGGCAGTGGCACATTTTTTCAGCAGATCTGAGCTTCGCCTTTGCAACACCTGAAGCCGAGGCGCGCATTCCCATTTCTTGCCAAAAGAACAAAGACACGGGCGAACCGTCTGGTTTGAACAAAGGAACTATGGTTGGAACGAGTTGGATGTCACCCCTTCGACTGTTGAAGCGAGGGCGTATCTTGTGACATCTTGGTTTGGGAATGAAAGGACCCCGTACTCCAGCTTTGGGAAGCCTCTTATTTCTACCAATGCCCAGTCAAAAATAACTATACCCTGAAGCCATTGTTCCTGATCGATCTCAGGGCAACACCAAACCACCAATAAAGGGTTACCTGACATGCTGTCCAGGTCGAAAGTCTGAAGGTGGCTACCGGTTTGTCAAGGTGCTTGTGGTTGTTTAAGCGTGTGCTGAAACACGATTAAATCATATTGCACCTATAAGTTTAGATTTTGTTCTATAGTTGCCACAACCGTTCGTGGCTGTGTTTGCGCAAGCTTTGTAAAACAATGTTGAGTCTGTGTTTCTGGTTTGTGTAGCCATGCTAATGGGGTTCAATCATCGCTGGTGGTGCTTGAGGTACTCAATGCTTGCTTTAAAGATGCAAACAATACAATGGGCTGGTTGTTGACAGTGTTTGGTTGTGTTTGAGGGTCTGGCAGTTTCCTGTTGGTGTGTCTGACTGGCTCTTAAAGGTGATTGTGCTCGCGCATGCGTTTTAGTGTGTTGGGAGGCTGTGCAAGATGATTGATGCGTTTAACATGCTTGCTTAGTGGTTTTAAGGTGTGCTTTGTCAACTGAGGTTGGATGATATTGGTGTCAACACGTGGTTGAAGGTGTGAGACGGCACTTGTGTGTTGTTTCCTGTTGCTGAAACGAACAAAAGACAGTGCTGAACCGTGTTAGATGGCTTCATTAATTTCTGATGTGTTTCAATGAGCTTTGGCGGCTGTTCTGGGCTTTGAAGTCTGACAGCTCCCAAAGGGCTGCCGCGAGATGTGAATGTGTGCATGGAGCATGTTTGAGCAGTTGTTCTTTTTGACAAGCCTTCGAGCCTCGTTTCAATGTGGACCGTTGGTGTTCAACATGTCGTTTTGCTTCTGCATTCCTGCCTGTGTGTTGGTGAGTGGCGCGCTGAAGGTGTGTTTAACCCGGTTTTCTTCTGGGTGGTTGCTTGCTTCAGCTGGGCTCTCGCGGCAAAGGCACCTCTGAGTTCACTTGTCAGCTTGGGCTTTCGGGGCTCAGGACTACATCCAGCAGTTTGAGTGAGGTTTCCCACGGAGTGAGGTTCATATGCGTCAAAATAAGTGGGTCCCCCGAACCGTTTAAACCATGTTAAACAGGGTTGTGGGAAATGGAATCCACTTCTGTGATACAACAAAAGGGGCTTCCCAAAGACTAACCCCCCATATTAAGGGGGAGATTCTCTTGTATCACAGAAGTGGTCAACCACAACCCTGACGTTAAGCTGCTCAGGCTCAAACTTGTCTTTGTTGCTGGTTTTCACTTCGCACCAACCACACAGGGCCGCAAAAAAGCAAACCCAGATTTCGCTGCATGGGTGATTTTGCGAACATCACGCACACAGACCTCTTCTTTTCTGCTTCTCATGCCGCGCCTTCAAGCGTCAGGTTCTTCCGTCTTCACCTCAGCTCAGCTGGCTACCCAGATGTCAGTTCTCTCTAGGTGCTGTGGCTTTTCGCACAGGCAAACCCTGCACCTTTGTTCAAAGGAGAAAAACAAAATAGAGGCCTTTGACCACAAACCTCTGGTCGAGGCAACCAGCTTCTAGGCCAACTCGTGGGACCCTCCCAGCCTCGCTAGAGGCTGAGGGCTCTGGTACAACTGGTCGGCGTCATCCAGCTCTCAAATGGCTTTTGGTTCCGCGCGGAAATCCCTTGGGGCTGCAAGAGGAGGGATCCAATCCCTGGTACATCAGAACCCTTTGTGAGGTTGCAAATTGATTTGGCAAATCCAGATGGCAAACGAGGGGCAAAGTGAAATATTCAATCCCCCATAGCACTGCGGCTGCTAGCCCTTGAAACGGGCGGTTCATTTCGCCATTGACAAACCTTGAAAACAAGTGGCCTCAAAAAACAGCCCCCGCCCTCAAATATTCCCCCTCCCCAACTGCACGTGGTGTCCAACCCCGCTGGCAGCCGCGGGCACATACATTCTCATTTTTCTAGGGGCCACTTCCCCATTCTTTCCAGGGATCCTTCTTTTCAGAAAACCAGCAGATTCCAGAGGAAACAGCTGGTTTTTGAAAAGAACAATGGTTGACAAGAATGGGACATCCACGCCTAGAATTACGTCACGTTCCGCGTGCCAGCCAAACAAAACACTTAGACATTTATATAAACCTCTGTGACGGGTATTTGCCCCGGCTGGGACCTGCCCATGAACTTGCCCAACCACTGGACCACAAACTGACATGCTCAGAATTTCGATTCCCCAAGCAGTGACTGAAAGGGCTCGGCATCTCAAGCTTACTCTCAGATATAGCACAAGTCCAAACGACAAAGATTGGCTCACTTGCCCGAAGGACCAGGGTCCTGGACCAAACAGGGGACACCAAAAGGTCAAAAGGTCGATTCGCTTTTTGTGGCAAGCGAGTTGGGTGCGAAAAGTTGGAAGCCCACATCCTGAACTGAGACTGGCACCCAAAGGTTCCATTCGCTGCTGGGCTCCACCTGCCAAGAAAAAAAAACTACCTCTTAGTTGTTCAGTGACCCTGGGAAAAAAAGGGAACCCTTTTTGGGGAAGACCATTTTTAGCGCACCCACCAAAGACAAAGGGAAAAAGGGTGCCACTGAACAACTGAGGCCTTTCTCACAACCAGACAATATCAATGCTCAATTCTTCTCAAAATAGGTGTCCCCCAAAATGACATTTTTCCTTTAAGTCAATCTCAAAAAGAGTAAGCTTCAAAGGAATACAGACCCATGTGGTTACGCAAACCTTGAAATGGGATCCCAGGAAACCAGGCAAAAAGTGATGCGCCCTCAACGGCTTATCCTCTGCACTTGAGTTGCGGGTGCTCGCGGGTGTCCCATAAATCAACCATGACTTGCAGGGTTAAATGGCCAATGCGTTCTGAACATGGGCGTGGTTCCTTCGATAACCCTTTTTTGGCCAGGACGAAAACCGACGAAACGTGTCGCCATGTTGGGGGTCCCCAACATGAAACAAGCCCACATGTCTTTGACTCCATGTTCTTTGGTTTGAAGCCATGGCTGGAAAGGAACGGAAACCGGCGGTCCTGTTGACTCAAAGATTTGAACCTGCACACGAGATCAGCCACAGTTGAAGAACGGCAGCAAATGATAGATACACCGCATGGATTGTTGGCTGTTTAAATGCAATTTGTCTAGAGTAGTGCAGCACCCAGAACCGCCTACAAGTCTGAAAGCTGGGTTGCTGCAGCCTACAGCCTTACAACATGCTTCACTCAATTTGGGATGTCCACCTTTTGGCAGCATGCTTGCATGTAAGTACGCAATGTATGTGCTTTCTTGTTGAAGTCGGAAAGCCGAAAGGCACACGTGCCTACTAACATGGACCATCAAGGAAACCACGGGCACTGCTTCTTTCAGTGAGGCTGAAGCGAACCCCCCCTCCAAACGTCCTCCAGGAAATTGCCAATCATAGGTCTAAAGGTACAGGTCCCAATCCCAGCGCGCATCTTGGTTCCAGCCAAGAGATTAAAAAAACAACAAGTAAAAACCAAAAAACAACCAATGTGTCCATGTCAGCTAGGGCTGGGAGAAGCCAATGTCGAATCTTCTCTGAATTGGTCACATCGCTTCCTGAGTGGATGGGCCACAAAAAAGGCAAATGCACCACCAACATTGTCTTCCCCAAAATATGAAGTCCCGACACTCAGGAAGTGAGTGACTGCCCCCTCTGAAAGGCGGCTTCTCATGCATGAATGAGGCCAACGCAACGTGAATTCAGCAAAAACTGGGTGTCAAATGGTGGTCCTGGACAACTCGCCAAAACGTGCCGACCAACTCTTATGGAAAGGAACATGCATACCTGGGTCCTCCGTCTCCAGGTGATTTCCCTGTTTTTCCGTTCTCCAGGTTGTTTCTAGGAGACCGTCTGAAAACTGGGAGTTTCAGGTGTTTCAATACATAAATCAAAAAGCAGGAGTGGCTTGCAAACCGCAAGAGTGAACATCAAAAACTAGGAGTCGTTCTTGGGGGAAAAATGGACACAAGTATTGTTGTCTTCTTCGTCGTTTGGGCCTGCAATTATACAACTCTGCGCAGTATCCCTCATTATGCAATTCTGTGCACTCGAGTGGGTATTCAACTGCTTTTCCTGAACCTACAGTCTCCGGAATTCAGTTTGTTTTTAGTTGCGGGAGTGCGGGTTTTTTGCGGGACTTCGCGGGGTGTTGGCGGATTGTTTTGCGCTGAGTTTCGGGTGTGGTGTTTTCCTGTGTTGGCAATTTGCCACCCAAAGGCACAAATTCTGAACAATTCCGAATTCTGAATATTTCGGAAATCTAAATTATTGATTCTGATTTAAGTGAACGATTCCGATTCTGAATGTTTCTGAATTGGAGGGCTCCTTCTGTCGAGCCTCGACTAATTGCCAATTCTGGGTGGTTTCAGCTGTGCAAACAACTTTTCCAGGAGTGGCAATCAATTTCTAGGGGTTTGAACCCCAAAAACTAGGAGTTTGAAAACTCTGCGTTTTTTTTCACTGAGGCCCTGAAAAAAGAAGAATCCCATGATTTGGAATCCTGGAAGATCCAGGTACGCCTCGTACAAATTGCCATGGAACCCAATAACCCCAAGGCAAACCTTTTCCGTTCTTTGCACATTGTTTCCCCCCTTGAAAGCTTCGCCTAAAACGTAGCGCCCCAAGGGAGGTTCGGCCCCCCGTCCGTGGCAGCACCGAGGGCCCCTGCGGCGCCCTCTGCTTCCAAATCGCCGTTGCAGAACTGCGGCCGACCTCAAAACGGATGGCCTGACCTATGTGGCGCGTCGCGCGTTTTTCTTTTCAGGGTTGGTCCTTTTTGGGTTGGTAAAAAGAAGCCAAAAGGACACCCAGCAATGTTTGAGCTTGTTTTTTTCAGGGAAGCCCTTTTTGGGTTAGCAGAGGGAAGCCAAAAGGACACCCAGCATGAAATACCCTATGTGTGAGACATCGTTTGTTTCAGGGAAGCCTTTTTTTGGGTTGGCAAAGGGAAGCCAAAAGGACACCAAGCCTGAAAGAGGGTGCCTGAGACGGGACAAACCTTTTTGGGCACCTCAACAAATGTGGTTTCTCCTTTTGGTTTCCCTTTAAAACCATCCAACCCTCCCTTTGTTCGCAAAAAAACACATGTGCCTTTTTGCAGACCTTTTTGCAGGCTCGGCACCCTTGGTCAGAAAACGTATCCGCACTTTTGGGGACTCCATTTGGACGACCGACAACTCGACTGGGACCCCAGGACTTTTCCCGGGCGTGCGGGCCACACCAGTAGTTGCAGTTCAGGGTGTTGCTGCCCACGTAGAGCATAATGCCGGTGCCTCTGGTTTCAGAGGAGTGCGCTTGCTGGCTTGCAACCATCCCTTGTGGTTAATCCTTAGCCTTTTTCTTTCCCAAAACCCGGTTGATTACCCACTGAGAACCAACCACAGGTTCATGGTGGCTACCCCAGACATAGTTGTTTGTGTCGGTTGGCGGGGGACACGCAGGTTGCCATCGAGTGGAAGGTTAAAATACTACCAACGAGGCAGCCAGCAGCCTAACAATGTCAAATGTGTGTATATGCGTAACATAGGAACACGCCCTCTTTCCACTAAACAATGGGAGATTTCGACCAAAAGCTCAGATCTTGTGGTTTGGAAGCCGAAAAGGGAAAGCCAACCCATGAGGCCCCAAGCACCAAACCACTCTACCAAGAAGATGAGGTCTCCAACACGATTTTCCATTTTAGGCTTGAGTACAGAAACACAACAGAATATTGTTGTTCAACAAATAGTGGCCTTACTTCCTGAGTGGATTGGCCAAACAAGTCTGAACTTTTTGCTTACCACTCAAATTGTCCCCCCAAAGAGTGTAAAGTCCAGGGTTTCTGGAAGTGAGTGGCTTCAGCCACTTCTAAACGAGGTGCCGGCCCAAGTTTGCGTTCGCAACTGGAATGGGTGGGAGGGTCGCTTACGGCACTTTTCTGGGACCAAGGGTGCTGTTGGCCCGCTCCATGGCCGACAGCTCTGAGCGTACCACACTCCGCGTTCGTGTGGCACCACTGTTGGGCAGCGTCCCAAATCTCCTCCTTGGGCAATTTCTCTCTGGGTGCAGGGCTCAAAGACATGAGACTCTGGTCGGCTCAAGGAGAAGTAAACTTGGTTGACGTTGGAAGGGGAGCAAACATTCAAAGTTTAGCAGTGAAGTGGTTGGATTTCAACCACTAAACCACCATAAGCAAAAATGTAAAATGTTTCCCAACAACAACCATGTAAAGGGACTCTGATGTTGATAGAAACCGAACCGGGAGGGCAAGGACACTTCTCAACCTTCAGTATGTCAGCAACATACATTGCTCCTGCAACCCCGCAGCGGTGAGCAACAGAGCCAAAAAGACAACCTAGAACAGTTAAGGTAAAACAGGGGATTGCAAAAAGCAACGTTTTGTTGGGACCCTTTTTCGGGGTTGACGATTTTAAGCGGGGGATGGGGCCTCAGCATGGTAACCTTAGAATAATTCAACGGGGTAAGCCAACGAACATATCATCCCCGAGTGGATTGGCCAAAATACATCCAACCACTCATTGGGAATGCCACTAATCCAAGCACAAAAAGGTTTCCCAATAAGTGGGATAGGATCCGAGCGAGGTGTTCCCCATAACTACAATGGTCCAAGGTGTCCAAGGTTCGCACTATTCTGGGTGAATTATAATATTTCACCAAGCTGAAATAAGGTGGTTGTGGTTGGAAATTCCCGAATTTAATGCCACGATTTGGGGTGAATTCGGTCGTGTGAGGTCGGCAAAACATCACTCAGACTATTGGGAAATGGATCCGAGGTGTTCCCCATATCTACCATGGTCCAAGGTTTCCAAGGTTTCCACTATAATTGTAATTCACTCAGATTGGGAAATCAGGAACTCAGGAAGTGAGTTTCTGAGATTTCGAGGGCGCACTTGGGTGCCAGGGGTCCCGGCGCTGCGTCGCGAGCCGACGCTGCCCACCGGGTGCACCCCCACCATCTCAGAGGAGCATCTGGCCGACTGGGCCGGGCCGGGCGAAGGTCAGGAGTCATACTGTGGATGGACGCGAAATCCTCTTAGGCACCACCCAAGAAACCCTGGAATGATTCGATTCCCCTGTAAATAATGATGATTCCCCTGTAAATACCAACAAACGGTTTGGTTTCCAGTGGTTTCAAACTGGTGCGAAATGGATTTCGTCCATCCACAGTAGCACTTGGATTTCCCAGATTAAGCGTTGTTCTCAGGAACAGGCCGGCTCAACATAAGTTTCCTGTTTTTTGATATGGCTCTGAAACGGGGCTGTCTAAACCGGTAGACTTCCAACAAGTGGCGCTTCTGTTGGTTTTCCGCTAAGAGCCGCAATAAGGATACCTCCCTATGCGATCAAGTGGATGGGCCCAAAAAAGTTAAACGTGCGCGTTTGCCACTCAAATGGGTCTTCCCCAAAAATGCGCTAAAGTCCGAAACGGAACTCAACCAGTGAGATACCCTTCAACAACATACGCTGTGTTTGTAAACGTTTTTTGCAGTGCTCAAGAGAGAGGCGCCCTCAAGCCGAAGTCAGACAGCCCTCTTTGAAAGGAAGCCAACTTCTTCCCGGTTCTTTCCCCACGGCAGTTGCCTGTCCTGATGGATAGGGGGAAGCCATGCATCGCTGGACACGTGGATTTGTTTCACAAGAACATTCCGAGCATCGGCGATGCCAATCTGGATGCTGGTCCTCCAGTAGAGAGGTTAGAAGAAGGGTACCCTTTTTCTGTAGGAATTGTCTATTTTAGCAGGGGAACCCTCCCCCAAAAAAAAGGGGAGAGAAGGGCACTACTGGGGGACCTAATTCCATTCCAGGCTACGCTTGAAGGTCCTAAGGGTCCACCAGAGCAAAGAAACTGTCAGCAGCTTGGCATTGGGCCAGCTCTTGGTGCACTCGCTTCTCAGGTACGGGAATCCAAATGGCTCAATGGCTCCAGCCAACTATCCACTTGTTGGGAACCATCTGGTGGGCTGACTCTGAACTCCTAATGCTCATGTGCAAATCGAAAGGGGCTGCAAACACCCTGTTGCTCATTCTTGGGTTTGCCAGGGCTACTTACCGAGAAAAGCACAGCCAAGATGCCACTACTATATTGAACATATCTGGTCCTCCGCTGTAGCCCAGCCGAGCAAGGAAACACATGCTTGATTCCGCTCCATGCATTTAGTGAGCCTTAGACCAAGCTCAAACAAAACAGGCCCAGCAAGCCGGACTACGGGCCGGTTCTTTCCAACCCGTGGTATTGTAGCCACAAGCTTTGCTTTTGAAGCCCTACAAACGAACAGAACCAAAAGACACACAAAAGAGGCTAAGAACATGGCAACAACCGGCTGTTTACTTGCAACCACCCCATCCAAAATCCCAATGGCAACAAAACCCTTGGGGAGCATTGGGGGGCTCAAATGATTCGTCTATTTCTAGGCTGGTTTGAGCTTCTAGGCTGCAATTGGGAGAAAAGCTTCAGTTTTGAGGGGGGGAAAAACATTTAAAACCCGAATTGGCCCTAAAACCCCCCTGGCCCAAAACCCCAATGGCCTGGCCCTGAAACCCCACCTCCCCTTCTCCGTTTTCGGCTCCGTTCTGCTTCGCCCGGCTTTTTTTTGGGCGCCTAGCCCCATGCAGCTGGCGGAAGCCCAGAGCGGTGACCTGGCTAAGTCGCGGATCCCAACCACTTGTCTTTTGTTTGCCCCCCCCTAGAAAAACCACGTGTATATACATATGTATATATATATATAGATATATTTTATACCATGTTCCTAGAAACAGCAAGCATGTGTATATATATAAATAATATATAGTATGGCATACTTTGAGTAGTTATTTTCAGTAGTCATCATTGAGGATAACTTCTATTTGCTTAAGGCCCCCCAAACAAATAGAAATAGTTCCAGTAGTGCAAACAACTCCCTTTAAATCCAGCAAGGGAAACATAACCTATTCTTAAGCAATCGGAAGTCTGCAAGTGGGGTTCGATGATAATCTGCTGAGTATGCCCTGTCTTTCCGGGAAAGGATGTTGCTTGATGAGTTGCTTGGAGGGAATGAAATTTGCGTGGCACAAAGCCACGGCTAGAGAAATCTCGACAAGTGGCAGCTTGAAGCTGTAATCTGGAAGTGGGCATTGCCGGAATCCTCGGATTACCCGCCTTGGGGCGATGCCAGGTCGCACCAGGAAATAGCCTTGAAGCGGGCCATTTCCTGGGTATTTGCAAGCAGGGAACCAGAGAAGTGGGCAGACTTAGACACCTGCGCAAATTTGACTTTTCGCTGGTTGAACCGGAAAAATGAAGAAGAACCCAAGGGACAAAAAAATGACAAACAACCAGCAACGCCTGGCAATGAGGAGTGGCAACCAACCCCTGCAATCCCACTGACCTTAGCCCGACAACCAGGCAGAGTGGCACTTGCCCACCCGGACCCAAGAGAAGAAACCACACACACAACGGGCTAAGAGCAGTGAGGAAAAAAATCAGCACCTGCCGGCCCCCTCAGCAAAGAGTTTCCCCTGGCTGAACCTCGGGTCAAAACTCAAAACCCGATATAAGAAGGCTTTCAAAACTTCAAAACCTAGGCGAACGCCAATTGGGCCCGTCGATGGTGCACAGTGACTCTGGTTAAGATGACATGGAAGCAAAAAGGAAGCCACTGAACTGTTCGTTTGAAAGCTTGCACCGCGTCACTCTCCCCCGCGCGATACAGCGCTCAAGCCAGGGCATCGCCTGGACAAAGGCGATCAATAAATATATTTAAATCGAACGAGAAAACAAAGAAGCGTGCACTTCGGCACTTGTCGCGAATCACGGCAGAGGGGCGGCACGTTTCCTAAGTTTGGCAAGCTGCCTCCTTCTCTGAAGGGTCGAAGGGTCCGGGACATCACAGTCCTGGCCCTTCAGGCAATTCAACAGGCTTTCTACCCGCTTCGGCATCAAAACTGGCGCAAAACTCAATTGGTGCCCCACGAATTTTGGATAGGCCTGCGCACAAAAATTATAATTCGTCTCAAGGGATTGAAGGTTGAAACATTGACCAAAGGAGCACCTGCGAGCTCAGCAGCATCATTGCCAATGATGCACCAAGCCTTTGGCAAAACACAGCCGGGAATTTCATAGGGCCAGTAGAACACTGGCATAGGGCAGTGGTCACCGGACTTCCGCGGATCGCCGGGTGCGACTTGCTGGTGCTTTGCCTTTGAAACTGTTGAAAGTTCCAACCAGCGACATGGACAACAAGCTGAATTATCATAGTTTACCAGCCTGAAATAAGGTGGTTGGGGGGCTATTCCCCACACAAACCACCCTTTGGGGTGAATTCGGTCGTGTGAGGTTGTTATAATTCACTCAGAACAATCCTCCGACTCTATGGGGGGCCCCAAAGCTCTCTCGCCTCCTCCTGTATCTCGTGCGGCTGCCACAGCTCCCGCGCCACCTCCTGGCGCCGAGGGGAAACCTGCAAGGGCCTCTTTTGGAAACGTGTGGGAGGTTGGCTGCCTGCTGCCAGATGCTAGTTGGGAGGTTAGCCTTACCCTGTTCAGATTCATGGAGAAGGTGGAGCATGACATACTGTGGATGGACCAAATCCATTTGGCACCACTTGGAAACCATGTTACGCCATTGTTGGCTGGATTTTACAGGGGAAACATCATAGCAGGATTTTTTAGGTGGTGCAGGATTTCGTCTATCCACAGTAGGGCTCCAGGGTTCAACCCCCATTGAAAGAATGGCAAGGACCAGATTATGATGAAACTCCTTAGCTAAACATGGTGGTTCTATCAGCCCCCCATTGTGTTGAGGGTGTTGAAATTCGGGGACGTGGTTGCACGCCAACCAGATTCGTAAGTCATATCTGCGTTGGAAGTATTCTGCCCCTTGAGAAGAGAGGAACCTTGCCATTGGAAACACTCATCTTTCGAAGAGGTGAACTCTTCAAAGGGATGCTCACCAAAAAGGGGTTGCTAGGGAAAACATTCACCAGACAATGCGCGCCGAGCTTGCCCCAACAGCCGAGAGGTTTGGGGTCTTTGACCAGATAGCCGCCGGAATGGTTCGGAGCATCACTGGGCCTAGGGTTACAGAAAAGCCTACGCTCCTGAGAGCCTTTCATGTGATGCTCATGTGTACATTTGGATGGCACATTCCGAGTGCCGAGGAAGCTCGTTCTCATGCTGACCACAAATTAAGAAAGCCCTTGCAGATGAATAAGGGCTTGTTGGCACGTCAACGGTTCCGTCTAGAATGGAAGACCCTCTATTGACCAACTGGAGGGTCATGAATCTTTACCCATGACAACAACCACCAGCTATGCGTCCAGCTACGAACAAAAAACGCTCATTTCAAATCAAACGCTGCTGAGGGCCAAAACCAAGGACCCCTCCCCCGATCCAAAGATTGGGCCCCTCTTCGAACAGGCTCTTCAAGCTTTCGGGGAACTCAGCTACCGTTTCTCTCCTCAAACTGCTGTGCTTGGCGCAACCTGCACGCAAAACCCATCGGGGGTGATCAACCCTTACACCCGCCTTAGGGGCTGGCGTTGGAAGCGAAAGTGCGAAGACAGCTTTGAAAGCAACCGCGCTTGTTCGGCAGATTCACCACTTTTTGTCTTAGAAGCATCCATCACGCTATGCTTCAACTGTTGCATTGCAGCATCCATCGAAATCACGCCATCATCACCGCGTGGATTCAACATGCATCCAGGCTCCGTTGATGTTGGAAGGGGAGCAACAATTTAATTTTTAGCAGTTACGCAGGGATTTCCGACTAAACCAAAAAACATATTACAAACTGTTTCCCAACAACGACCATCCAGGAATCCACAAACTTCTCCCCAGGCAAACCCACCCCTCGTGGCTCCAGGCGAAGCGGCGCGAGTTTGGCGCCTTGAGCGTCTTCATGTCGGCAATGCCGAAAGGAAATCGCAGGAGGCCGCCGTAGCCCTGGCCCCAACTTTGAGTCCGTCACATCGGGTTGTGAATCTCACTCGGCCTGAAATGGTGGAAGGCCGCCGTAGCCCTGGTGGCCCCAACTTTGAGTTGTGAATCTCAATGGGCCTGAAATGGTGGACATCATGCGGGAGGTTCATGTACCACTTTTGAGGTTCCCTATATGCAAACTCCTGGCCACACTGCTGGGATCTGGAAGAGGTGGTCCCCTTTGAGAACCGCAAACATGAGATCAACCCAAGAAAGCTAGGCCAAAAGGTAGGATGTAAAAGTGCATCAGTGGATCTAGCCCATTTCCGTTCAGGGGTTTTTGGGGGGAGCCTCTGGCTCAAGACAAGGATATTTCGGACAGCTCCGGCCATCACTTCGCAAAGATCAAGGGACTTTGACATTTGGCTGTGTCTCAGAGCAGTTAAACACAAAATGGCACCCTGGTAAATGGAACCAAAGACTAAAACCCGTGTAACCCCAGCTCTTTCATGTTGAGCCATACCCATTTGAGAGGACCTCTAGGCTGGTCCCAGAGCCCAGAAAAAGGTTTGGCCTTTTGCCAGTGAGGAACCAAACCAGAACACGAAGCACGGCTGAGGACATGTCAAAGACTTCAGTAATCCATCGGCAAGACCTGCCCTGATTGTTTTATAAATACTCGGTTGCTTTCTGCTCCCCTGCTAAAAGTTTAACTTTTAGTGGCTTGATGGAAACCCATTAGTTGGCAAAAAGTTACTAAAGTCCCAACATCCAAGCAAAATACACCAAAGAATATGTTGACCCCTTAGTGAACCACTGTTGATCACGGTCCCTTGGAAGAACGGAAGCAGTCTGATTGATAACAGGGACAGCTTATTTGCAGGAACGCGATTGAAGCACAAGGCCCGCCATTGTTACATGCCAAAACCGGTGTGCTCAAATAAAGGGGCCCTGGCGTCTCCACATCCATGAATGAGTCCCAAGATAAATAATCCCTTGATTCTTCACGAAGGCAACGTCCCAGCACGGAGCATTCAAATGCTCCAACAGGTGGATTTACCCACCTTCCAACAATCATTCAAGCGGACAAGGGGCATTTTTCAAGAGGCTGGTAGTCTTCCAAACCCATCCTGCCTGCTCCCATTGAAAGCAGGGCATCCAGAATTGGCTCACCCTCCCTCGCCTCCGGCCACTCTGGCGCCTCCGGTGAGCCTGGAACCAACATAGTCGACCTAGGCAGAAAAAACTAGCGTGGCTGGGTGCTAGAAAGTTTCGGTGTCTGGAATCATGGAAACATGAACCATGCCTTTTCTCACTGGCTGAGTGGATGGCCCAACAAAAGTCCAAACTTTGCATTTGCCACTAAAATGGTCCAAACCCAAAAAGCTTAAAGTTCATGAACTCAGGAAGTGAGTTGTTAAGGTGTCCTGCCGAGAAATTGACCGGAACCCAGGCCTGGGCTTCCCAAGGGGCCCTTGTTTGCAGCTCGATGGACCAACCACGTCCGCTCTGAAAGTGCGGTTTCCCGGCTTCCCAGACACATGACAGATATCTAGTCGTGTCTTGTTTCAATACCAACAAGCTTGTGTAGAAATCTGTGAAATGCAATGACCATGAAACATAGAAGACACATACAAGTCATGGTGCTATAATACAGTAGGGGCCATCATCTCCAGCCCCATGGCCATTCCAAAATGAAGAACCCAACCAAGCCCATCCTGATAGCATTTCCGGGATGCCAGGGGTTCTGGAGGAGGGCGGAATCAAGTATGAAGCTCATCCCGCAACACCCCCGAATCCTTCGAGTGCTCAGAAATTGGTATGTCCGAGACCAGAACTCAGAAAGCAAAAGGCTAAATCGTCGATTCACCTTCACTTCCAAATCGCACTGGGCTGCTCAAAGTGTGTGGGTTCATCTCATCCGCCTATGCCCCTGGAAGACATGTCTAAGGGACATGGTCATCCTCTTAACCCCAGAATCCTCCGCACTGCCCCAACGAACGGTCCAGAAGACTGAGTGCCCCGCTTCACCCTTGCGGCATCTCCTGCAATGCAAGCATGTGATTTGAATGGCATAATTGCCATGGTAATACATCATTCAAAACTCAGCGATCCTTCTTTTCAGGAAATCCAAACCCAGGGACCGTTTATTTTTTAATTTCTAAAGAACAAAGCTGGAAAACCACGGAAAATCCAGCCCGAAAATGCTTGGCATCCTTTTGGTCTCCCTTTCAGGGGTGTGGCTGCCCCACTTGTTGGATGCCCCTTTGAAGTGGCCTTTGGGCCAAAAACAAGGGAGCTTCACAGGGCATAGGCCTAAATCGATGCAAAACACCTGGACTGCTTCAAGGAATTTCTTCTGTGTGCGGGCTTGAACCTTCGGAACACCAAGAGAAACATATTTGGAGATTCTGCCGTAGCCCACCCTCGCCATGGTCACCCCGGCGCCAGCCGACAGTCAACCCTGTTTGTGTGCCCTGTGCCCAGAATTCCCGCGTTGCGCTGCCCCAAAGCCGTTCCAACTCAAACTTTGCCCGCCGAGACACACCCAGGAGGTTTTCTCTCAAGCGTGCGAACTCAACAGGTAATTACCACCAACTTCAACTTTGGCATGCTCCTGGGTTGGCAGGCGCCTTGTCGCATACCTAGCGCGAGCGGATGTCGGTGCATTATTAAAACCTCCTTTGGCATGCGCAGGGCGCCGGAACTGAACACAACAATGGTGGTCCGGAAATTTGATAACAGGGTCCAATGGCTTGCAAATGATCAACCAAACGCCAGCCATGAAACAGGGAAAACCATGCGGGTAGAGCATGCTTGACACAACATTGACATGGTCTTCCTCCAGCACGAACGTGGAATAAACAGGTCGACACATTGGAAAACAAACTTCACTTGCCGAAAGGATAAAACGTTATCCACTTGTGGCCATGACAATCAACAACAAAATAGCAAACAACAGGAAAAACAAACAAACATGGGTGGCCTTCTTCAATACAATATTTCCATTTGAACTACATTCAGGAAAATGTTGTTCAGGGCGGGATGTTTCCAGTGCAGGTGCGTCGGTCCAACAGGGGTCCGCGTCATGACACACATCAATGCGACCCAAAGACTCATGCAAGGGGTCCCCTTATAGATAAGTCTCCCCAATATGTCCCCCTTTAACTTTACATATTCCCCCTACTGAGGGAAACTCACCGAAGTCAAATTCAAAACCCGGTATTAAAATGGTCTACCCAGAACCATGTAAAGAATTTAGAAGGCGGCCGCAGCTATTTCTGGTTGGGATCGTCCCTTACTAACCTTCATCTACCCGGGTTTTGACTGTGACTCACCAGCAATGGGCCAAACTTGTTGTTTCAAGAAAAATGGTAGACCACCTTCCTCCATTTGCTTCAGTCCCCTGGAAAAAATGAACAGATTTCCAGTCGTGATAGATTCCCTTTAAAACCAACAGGGACAATTTAAACAACATTATTGTCCAAATAGAAGCCTTGTTTTAACTTGGTGTCCTCCAGTCAGAGGATGCCTTTGGTGACGGATGTGGATTCCAGGATCCAGCCTCAAGATCTTGAGATCTGAAAAAAGGATCCAAAGGGCATGGAGATGCACAACTTGGTGTTCCAAAAATCCCTAGGAAGGAAACAGCGAATCATCCCTTCTGGCTTCCTTGTGGGAAGGTTCTCTCTCTCTCTCTCTGCCGTTGCGTCCAAAGGGTCTTGACTCAGCAAGGCAAGGAAAAAGGTGCTTATTGTGGGAAGGTTAACCAATATAGATTGCTAGCGCCAGAAAACATCAACAGCAAATCACATATCAATCCCGCATGGCTTCCCTGGAATGTGACGCAACATTAAACATTTGAGCGAACATATGGGATCTTGTTTTTGAGGTAACACTTCTTGGGTTGCTTTCAATGGGGGTCCCACCCATTTTGGTGGGTCCACCTATATTGAAACAAACCCACATGGGCTGCTACCCAAACAAATGCCTCCAGAACCTCCATTTGCTCAAGCCCCCTGGAAAAAACTACATATTTCAAATAGTGATAGATTATCTTTAAAACCAACAGGGACAAATACAAACATATTCCTGTTCTTGGCTGACGTTGGAAGAGGAGCAAAAAAATAAAATTTAGCAGTTAAGTGGTTGGTTTTCAACCACTAAACCACAATAAACACAAAATGTAAAAATGTTTGCCAACAACAACCATGACAGGGCCTTGTGCTGCCCGTAGCTCCTGACCATTTACTCTACCTGTGCGGTCAAATGAGGTTCGGAGCCATGTAAGCAAATTGACGTAAGAGAAAAGGAGCAACACAAATAAAATTTAGCAGTTGAGTGGTTGGTTTCCAACCACTAAACCACAACAAACAAAAATGCAAAAATGTTTGCCAACGACAAGGTCAACAACAACCATGCTTCAGCCAATGGAAGAGAAAATTGGCCGAAGACAAAAATAACGCCGCGCCTTCAAGGCCTTCCGGCACTCCAGCAGCTCCACCTGACATGACTCACAGCTTGGCTCCAGAGACCAAGGGCGAGGCCTCACGCAGCTAGGTCCAGTAGAGAGCTTAGAAGAAGTTGGTACCCACTTTTTTCAGTCCATTTTAGTTTGGGGGTTTCCTCCCAACCACAAAAGGGGTGAGAAAGGGCACTAAGGGGGGGACCTAGACACTTTTTGGCACGCAGCTGGCTTGCCAAAGCCTGAAAATGGGGCATCCCAATTCTTATCTGCAAGCCGTGGAAAATTGCCAACTTTTTGGGAAACCAGCTGGCGTGCGGAGTGAGATGATTGGCATTGCACAACGTTTTGCCTAAGGTTCAACTTGGACATGGACATGCTACTTCCATTTGGTTAAGACCCTGGGAAAAAAAATAAAAAATCCAGTAGTGATAGATTCCCTTTAAGACCACAAGGGAAAAAACAAAAATATTCTTAAGCAAATGGAAGGTCACCGTCTGTGTTCAGCAGCTTCACCTCCCGGAACTGTGACTAAAGCACATTAGGGCAAAAAAGTGCCTTTTCTGGGAGAGCGCAAAAAGCTTTGCCCAAGGGCGCCAAAATGAGCCAAAATGTGGGCCCGTTTCTTTTGACACATCGTGTGTTGCGATGCCTTTCCCACTGCTTCAAGGAAAGTCTCGTGCTAACGCTAGGTAAGAAAGCCTGGTTGCCAACTATGTGGGTAACTGACAGTTCTGGGCACTGGATTTGGAAACCATGGCCGCAACTCATGCTGGCTTGGGAACGTTAGCTTCACACTTGGCCAGCTTCACTCTGGTCTTCACCCAGAAAACTACAAGAGGACGACTTGGAAAAGCTCAGCCTATGCAAATATGTTCATGTCTGTCCTAAGGAATGCACTTTGCGGGCTCCGCTTTTAGCGGAACCCACCAAAAAGGGTGCCCTCAACAACTGGGCGTGCGATGTGATGTTTGCATGACGTCAACCAAGTTGAAGAGTCGCCCGAACCAAGCCCAAAGTCTTCAAGGCAGCAATGTCCGTCGTTTTCTGAAGGCAAGACGGGAAGCCAACCTGCTTGGAACCTCAAAAGAAACACCTTCAAGAAAAATATGATATCAGCGCCCTTACTATAAAGCCCTTTCCGAACCAGGGAGTGCAAGTCTTGACAAACAAAACTGGCCGGTTTTGGGCCATGCGGCTGGCCCAAATAGGGATGTGCTACCCTGCCAACCGCATGCACGGTCTCTCAAGGAGCGGGGTTCCCGGTCCTGTTGACCCTTGAGAAGCCACGTTCTGAATCGGGAGCTGGAAGCAGGGAAGCCCCACCAACAGCAGACCCCCTGGTTCATGTGTCAGGTTCTATCACAATCATGGGCCGTGAGCCGGGTTTGAGAAGACTACTGTGGATGGACGAAATCCATTCCGCACCACTTTGGAAACCAAAGGAATCCATTGCATGTTGGCATTTGCTGGGGAATCATCATTGCGAGGTTTCTTAGGTGGTGACTCTGGTCTGGTTGAATCATATTATATATTTCACCCACCTGAAACTTGCGGTGGTTGGCTATTCCCCACACCAGCATTTGGGGTGAATTCGGTCGTGTGTCCTTATAATTCACACAGACTCTGGTGTCAAAATCGCCCTCGCCACTTCCCTGCTTACCCCTTAAAACTCCAAGCAACCTGGGGAAGTTCTCATTTTTTACAGACAGAAAAAGCCCATGTTACCCCCACAAAGCTGAGAAAAGTTTTGTGCTTTTAAGAGGTAAGAACACCCCAACCCCACTCCAAAATCTGAAAAGTTGTGTTTTTAAGAGGTAAGCCTGGGTCAAACTTCGCGGATCGCCGCGGATCGCCTCCGCTCGCTCGGCGGTGGCCAGCGCGCGCAGCAGGTCCGCGGCGGCGCCCCGAGGGACTGACGGAGGAGCATCCCTATGAGTCAGCCATCGGGGGCCAACATCGAGTCATCCCAAGTGGGTCAACATCCAAAAGTCCGCCAACCCCCCTACTTTGTGACATCGAAAAGTCCGCCAACCCTCCCCACGTTGTGACATCGCAAAGTCCGTCAACCCTCCCCACGTTGTGACATCGAAAAAAGTCCCTGCCAAAGGAAACTCCTCCTAGCGGAACGTCTAGACAGTGGCTGCGAGGTGCAAACATCTAGCGGAAATTCCCTGAGCGTAGCAGATGGTGCGAGGTCCCGTCCCGCATGGACCTAGCCCACAGGACACCCCCCTGGCAAAAACCCAAGCGAAACAGAGTCCTGTTGGCGATCCACACGGGAAAACAAGGGCTTTCCAAGCAGGGAGGCTCAGGGAAAAGGGGGTGGTGAACATTCCATGATGCGAATTCTCTGGGTCCAACGAAGCCTGGACGACGGCACCAAGTTTGCCCTGACAGGGTTTCATTTGCTTTCCTCTTTGGGTTTTAGAGTCGACTGGGTCTGCGCAAAAGGAGCGAGCAACCACTGGCAACTTACCATGTTGGTTGGGGGATCAGCCGTTGAGCCAACCGTTGAAGGCAAAAACCGAAACGCTCCCAAAGAACAACGTTCTCCATACTTCCCCCTTTTCCCATCAGCCAAAAAGGACACTCACGTTTTGACTGGCCGAAAGCTGATGCTGGAAACCACCTCGGTCTTTGCAACAGCCTCACTTAGCTCCCTCACGCCTGGCTCCTGCGCAAGCACCTGACCCGCCTGCGCCGACCATTTCGATGTGCTTGCCCTTGTTCAATGGGTCAAAAAGAAAAAAAGGCTCACTTAGCCCTTGAATGGCTTGCTACCCTTTAATCTGGAATTCTGTTATATAAAATCAGCAGGGCCTCAAAAACATTGCCTGGGGCCATGCCTCACACAAGTTAAGATCCTACAAACCGGGGGTGCAGTAGGAATGGAAAACCAGGAACCTTTCTGCTCTCCAAAGTGGGAAGTCACTGACCACAAGCCCCGCTGGCCTTTCCTCTTGACAGCTTTGGGAAGACGCCCAGCCCCAACTAGTTGAATAAAAGTGGGGCTACCACCCGCCTATATGCATTACATCTTGTTGGGAGCCGAATCATTCACAACATCTGAAAGATCCGGTGTGTTTCAAGTTGTGAAAACATGATACGATAGGCTGGAGCCGCCAGATAGCACCCAACAAACCGGATTTCCTTCATGCATTCATTCAGGGCAGGGCGTGAGCACGGACATTGGGGTGGGGTCAAAGGCAGGAGTGGAGCCGCACGGGAAGAGCGATGCTTTTCCCTATTTCCTGGCTTTCTGTTGGGCAGGGAGTGTGAAGTTGAGTTAGTTTGCACTAGCTACCCTTCCAACAACACGCATTGACACATGGAGGTGCCCAAAACTTGGAAAGGGGCGCCTCACTCTCATCTTGGTTTCTGTGAGGGTGCCTACCTCATCGCCGAGCGGGCTCCCGAATTTAGCAGGAGCCTAGGATAGGACGGGACCCAACGGCTACGTCGGCAAAAAACACTCCGAGCCTGCCAGCCGAGCGAGGTCCACCTGGGTACAGTCATGCAAACCTGCAAAACAAAATAACAAGTAACGCAAATGCCAAGAACAATGAAACGTAGGGGGAGATGGGAGTGGGGCTCTGAACAAAAAGGAGAGCGAGGTAGGCAGCCAAAAGCCCATCAAGCCTGAGCCTTGGGTGATCGACAAAAACGGCTCTTTGATGTTCTTGGCAGTTGTTTGCATTTCACTTGGCCACACTCAACGCCACAAAGCCAAAACACCAGCTGCATTTTTTTCGCTCACCGGCTGCTGGCCACGCGCCATGCGACAGAAAAAACAAAAAACAACTCCTCGCGGCCGAGATGCGCAAGTCTTGCGGCAAAGCTGCCCATGGCGAGACACAGGGCTCAAGTACCCTCACTTGGCTGTGGCTCAAAAAGCCGGCACCAAAATGGAACCCTAACAAGTGGAAACATGGACCAAAACCTGCGTAACCCCTCCTGTTTAATTTTGAGCCACACCCACTTGTCACTTGCCCGATGGGTAGAGGATGAATGCCGAAACTTGTGGGGTCGCGACTAAACATGGAAGACTAACAAGTCATAGGTCGGATTTGGTCAAACGAAGGGTGTTCCCTGAAAACGTCTGCCAAACCTGTCGTTTGTGGACCTGTCCATCGTGTCACGTTGTAAGCGGATTATCAATCCAAGAGAGTGATCGCGTCAGGCTGTCTTCAAGTTGTCGTGCTGTCAGTTTGATGATTATATGAGATCTAAGCAGCTACGCCCATTACAGGACACTCGATCTTCGTAAACGTCCCTCACAACCAGGGGATCTTTCTCCAGCCTGATGTGCAGGACAGGCGCTTGCGACTAGGCGCAAAAGGGCTGACTTCATTCGTCCAAGGGAAAATAGCACGGGCCCTGTTTTGGTTGGTCATCTCAAGTGAGGCTCACTCTTACGACGAAAGGGCATTGTTGAAGGATGAGCCTTTGGCTTTCCGGGCGAGCAAATGTAGGCAAGCAGACATCACGAACAACTCGAGGTGCAAAACAACACACCTGGTCGCGGAAGCACTCAATAAAAGTAGGCCATGTTACGGAGTTACCAAGTCAAAGGTGGACATGCGTTGGCTACGACGTCGGCTTCGAGCCAAGTAACATCCGCATCGCGGGCGCAGAAAGAAACCCACAACGGCCGGGCAATTCAACTTGCTTCAAGCTTCCAACCCCGGACACTGCTGTGTTGGTTCCAGCCTGTTCCAGGCACCGCTACACAAAATAAAGAAACCAGAATGCTTAAAACGAGTCAAGGTGAATGACAACTAAACCCTGGACGAACCAGGCAATGAGCCTTGAGCCCCAAGCAGCTTCTAACTTGTGCCGGCCAAAACAAACAAATATTTGGGCGTTCTTCTGGGAATGTTCAACTGCTTACGGCTGTTTACAAGGAATACCAAAAGCAAAACACCCTTCTTGGCAGTCCACCATTCTGAGACAAAGTCGTTTGTTGTCTGCGTTGAGCAGCTGGGAGCCAGCTTGAACCCGTACGTGGACAGCCATAGATGAGGCAGGGAAAGCGTCGACAGGTCGGTCAACTTGGCAAGTGCCCTGAAGATAGTGCACTGTAGTGACCTGTCTCTAGTGCAACGCATGAACCAGCACCTGTACAAAACGCAGGGGATCCTGCTTGTTCCATCCTTTTCTGGCTCTTCTTGGCAAATTAGCTGGATTCCTTGGCTTGCTTTTAGCACGAGTGCTTCCACTCCGTCATGGCGGCGGCTCTGATCATTTCAGCACCCACTTCAAGGCACGTGACCAGACTCAGACCCCCTGCAAAAAGTTAAACTGCTTGCTGGTTGAAAGAAAAAGGAAGGAAACCCAAAAAAGGCAGCAAGTTAGATGGGTGGCTAGGTTCGGCAATGGACAGACCATGGCAGTACCCTGTCCGAATCGGTTAAGAACATGTCCAGTGCAAGTGGCTGAGTTGCTGAGCTTGCTGGCACGTGTAAGCTTGTTTTGCTCAACGGCGCCTGCACAACACATCTTGCTAAGCTTGGTTGCCAACCAAACATGCCACGGTGGCATTTCAAGGGGCAGTTGCGCTCCCTTAGAACAATTTATCAGCTATATAGCTTCTTAACGGTTGCAGGACACTTAGAAGGGAATCTTGAGTACGCAAAGCGACCTGGCTGACATGGTTTTACCGTCAGGCGGGCTCGCTCGCCCACTGCTGCCAGCGATTGGTTCCTCTTCTCCTTCCGGCTGCGCACAGCCAGGCCTAAGTGCAATTTGCATCTCAGCCAGTGCCTGGTTGCCGATTGGTGCGCCATGAGGAAAACTCAAAGGCAGACTATAATATATGACGCCATGCATGAACTCCTGGAATACGTCTCCATTTCATTGGCGAATTCACAAATAAGGGAGGACAGCCTCAGGGGCCCACCATGGCCATGGGTAGATACCTCCGCCTTTGAACGCACATGTTCGACACACTTCAGATCTACCAGCCAGTGTCGACCCTTGTGGGCCGGAAGCCCATGAGTCAGGAGTGTCTGATATTCATCGGGTCTGATGTCTACGGCCATAGTCTCACTTGCAGGTTTTCCTTTTCCAACCATGGCTAAACCTGGTTGCCAAAAATGGAAACGCGCCCAGATTTAGTTTGTTTTGCCTTGGTTAGTGAACACGATGAGGGGATATAAGGTGAACAACTGGGAGCGCTGTTCCTGCCTGGCAGCGAGGGAGTTTGATAGACTAAAGGAAGACCCAGGTCTTCTTGCCCATTTGGGTGTCGGAACATCCACAAGTGTTGGCTGTTCCCTGCCCCACTTTCTGCAAGCAAGTTTCTCACCCCAGGGATGCAAACAGCTGCACATGTGACGTCTCGCCCCCGCCCAAACAAACAGGCAAACTGCAAAACACAAACTGCACTACAAACAGGCAAAAAGGAGCAACCACACATTTGGGCAACACCAAATTAACAAAAACGGTGAGAACACGACACGCCCATGAACCAGACAGAATCCATTGAAGAAGCAAACAAGCAAGCAAGCAAGCAAGCAAGCAAGCAAGCAAGCAAGCAAGCAAGCAAGCAAGCAAGCAAGCAAGCAAGCAAGAAAGAAAGAAAGAAAGAAAGCGAGCGCAAACGAAACAAACCAAACAAACCAAACCACACCAAACCAAACAAACCAAACCAAAGCAACACACACAAGCAAGCAAACAATCAATTTGATAAATAAAACAGACAGGAAGGCAGGCAGGCTTGCAGGCAGCCAGACAGAAAGACAGACGGACAAACAAACAAACAACATCACAATAAATTACGTAAATTATCATCACAGAAGCAACACCCCCCCAAAAAAAAACGATACCACCGAATAATGAAAAAGAACCCACCGACCAACAGGACATCAGACACCTGAAGACCGTCACATGTTGACAGAAATGCAACTCAACACAGCCAACGACAATTGCAAAACCTAACAAAACAAAGACATCAAACCCACTCACGGCGCTTTGACAATCCACTGGTCACGGCCCACGGCCCAACCATTACCCTCCCTTCCACTAGCATAGCATGTGTAGGATGGTGCCTGGAAGATCATGTTCCTCTTGTAGGGATCCCCAGCCAGTTGCCATGATAGTAGGAGTCAGGGTAAACCAGGCACAAACCAGTCAGGGGTACCAACAAAAGCCACCACAAAACCCAACCACAAAACCCAAGGAAACAACATCAAACCCAACAAAAAAAAACATTGCGCAAGTACCATCAAGCAACTAAACTAGGTCCTCCGGTAGAGAGGTTAGAAGAAGGGTACCCTTTTTTCTGTAGTTTATTTTAGCAGGAGAAGCCTCCCCCAAAAGAAGGGTGAGAAAGGGCACTACTGGGGGACCGAGAAATGTACCATCCAGCAACCAATTTACAAACCAGTCGGGCCAGTGAGCTTAGGACTCCGGCGTTGCCGCCCAACCTGAGCGAGGCTTCCGGTGGCAGGCCTTGGGTGTCTTTCCCGGAGGGAACCCCCGTTGTTTTGGTGGTTTTACCAGGAAAACCAGGTAAGGACAACCAGCATTTTGGGGGGGTCCAACCTTAACAGACGCACCCATCTGGGTATGTGTCAAATGATGTTTGGACCCTGGAAGGGTGGTTTTTGACTGGTGGTGTCCCGTTTGCAAAACCAAAAAAGTGAAAAGGGTGCCCTCGACAAATAGACACGCTAAAAAGCTCCGCAGGCCACCATGGAACCCAAACAGGGTGTCCCATGTTTGGACAGAGACAGAGACAGAGACAGCAAATGATGGGTTGTTCCAGGTGAATCTGAGTAAGCCACCGACAAATCCCTACCAAACAAATCTTCATAGGTGAGGTCTCAGCCCGCTACATAAAACTTAATTGCCCAATTCAACCTGTGTCCAACGAGACTTCAGTCGGCACGACCGCATCCCAAAGAACCTATCAGAGATGGATGAGAATCACTAAAATCAAAGGAATCCCCTAATCTGGATCACTAGCGAATTCCAACTGAAATCTTACCCAGACCTCTCCAAAGGGGTAGTCCAGCACCCTTCAATTGCCTGATTTGGGGGGCTGTGGCTCCAAAAGCTCCGGAGCTGCGTATCAGCCAGCCACGCCTGATGGCGCCCGTACCGGGAGGATTGCCCGCCCGAGCGCAGGGGAATTTCCAAGCCAAGTCGCGACCAAAGTAGCAGGTGACCTGAGGAAATGCTGGGCTGCCCTCAGATCCGCCGCTAAAAAAATAACTTTTAGTGGCTTTCACTAAACACTAAAAGGCTAAAAAGCTAAGGGGATGGCTGGGAGCCACCAAGAATGGCAGTGGCTCAAACACAATCTGCGGTCCCCTGGGTCCTTATTTGTGAGCCGCACACAAATGGGCCTGTGATATGGCAAAGCGGTCAGCAACGGGCTTGGTGGAGTGTTGGCTCAGAAACATTGGACAATGGCATACTCCGCCAGCAAGAAACACGACTGTGAAAGGAACTGAGCCCTGAAGGCAGATAGCACAACTCCACCCTGTGTTGGTCTCCTCATCCCTTGCCGAGCCTCACTTCCGAACGAGTGGATTGGTCAGCAACAGTCCAAACTGTTGCTTGCCATTAAAATGGTCCAAGCCCAAAACGTGCTTAAAGTCCGAAACGGAGCTAAAACTAATTATATTTTTGAAATAAACATGGATGTTGTTTTTAATTGCAATAGGGCATTCTCCTAACACATCATTATTCACATATTTTTTAGAGTGTGATCAAGATGGATACATTATTACTAATTCAGATTCAACAAAACGCAGGGAGTGAACTTTTCAAGAGTCCCAGGGAGCCAACGTGCGGTGCCATTGGATGATGAGTCAAACCCCCCAACTCTCCTGCTCGGAGTAAGGAGCAAAGGAATTGCGCCATCTCATGTCGACTCCATATCAACCCCGGTTTGTTTATGGGGGGTATCCCCGTGTTTAGTGGGGAATCATCAATTTTGGAGGTGAACACCCCCCTATTCATACACAGGGGTTTATTACGGGGTTAACGTTAGCCATGAATTGGTGTCGTCCGGAACCAACAGAGTTGTGCAGTTCTGCGGTTGGTTAGTACTGTGGATGGACGGAATCCTGCACTTCAGAAACCTGGGAAGCCACATTGCCCACTTTACAGTCGTGCTAGTTGATTTGCCCTGGTATGCCAAGCAGGACGTGGATAGGATCGTTCCGATGATTTTGTTGCCTGGATTGTTTGTTGGTGACAGGGGAATCATCCTTAGCTGGTGCAGGATTTCGTCCATCAGTATGGGTGTCGGTACCGATTCAAAGTGACGCGGTTTTGAGGCCGGTGCGGCAGTCGGCCGCCGGGCAGCCTGGCCATTGTCCAGCTTCAGGTGCTCCTGGGAACAGAGAAAGCACCTGGAAGTCAAACATCTCTTGGTATGGTAGCTAAAAACTGTGTTTTTTGCAGACCCCCAGTAAAAATGAACAGAACCAAAAAAACAAAACATGCCAAGCACTTTGAAAATCAAAGGTGTTTCACCTCTTGGGACCCTGACTCATGCGGAAATTCAAACGACTACTAGTCAAAAGGTCTCACCTGGGATGCGGGTATGGGTGTGGGACCTTGCCTCAAGCTGTACCAAAGGGGAAATCAAGAGACTAAACGGTCGGCTTTGGTCGAGTGGCTGAGTTTCGCTTGGAGGTCTGGCCTAGAGAATGTTCATGGGCAGAGCTCTTACACAGGGGCATACACCGTCACTCCCGGTGTAAGGGTCATGGGACCTTCCTTGTCTCCAAAACCCATGAAAACTACCACCCTGAAGACCCTATGCATCTGCACTACTTGGGTGTTCGTTTTTCTTTTGTTGGTAAGTTGATAGACACCTACGTTATAACACGCTTATAAGTCCCCATAAGTGTCGTTTACCTTGGGATTAGTATATCGCCCTTGGTTAACCACGTGCTAACTTGGCCGAACATCCAGGTAACTGCTGTAATTCGCCAACCTAAATCAGGGAAGCAAAGTAAGCGGCTTTCATCGTGAGATATCTTGCATTATTGGCCGGGAAGCGCTTCATACAAATGCGTGGGCTGGTATGACAAGCACAACGATGCCGTCAACTTTGACGGTTGCTTTGGTTCCAGCCACCACTCAAAAAAGACAAAAATCAGGAACAAACACATCGAAAAGAAAGGGACCATCGTGTTTGAAGGGTTCCTTTTACGCCAGGTAAGCCTTATGCTTGTCACCAGTTGTGAATTTATGATCCCCGGATTAGCCATCTTGTGCTCTGACAGTGAATCATTGTTTCTGGATAGTTTGACCCTTCGTTGTGCCTCCAGAATGGGCAGCCAGCCACGCCACGCATCAGTGCCCAAATTAGCTACTTTGTGGATGGACAAGCTCTTGCACCAGTTGGGCTGGATAAGCCCCTGTAAGTACAGGGGTCCATCCACAGTAGGTTCAGATGCGGGGTTAGTGCTTGCCAAGCCAGATGCTTGGCAGAATCTGCTTTGGTGCCAAGCGAAACCTGCCCCAACACAGTTCGGGCAACATTGGGTAACCACATGTAACCACTGTGCAACCATGAACAGCTTTTGGCTTGTACATGCAATCATACATGCATCATACTCGAGTATGTGCATTTCAGCTGGAGAAGTACATATTACCCTGTAAGCATCGCCTTCACCAAAGTGAACTTCATAGTTCTTTTAAGTGATATCTTAACACCTTCAACAGGGAAAGTACTGTATAAGAACCATTGAGGACGTGTGGTCACCCAAAAGCAACGCAGCATTTTGTCTCTGCATCTGACGCAGCTGCACCTGCGATAAGCGCCAGCTTAAAGCAACTGGGACAAACTCCGCTGGAACCTCGGGTTTTTGAAAGAAAACACACGCCAGCCAGCCAATAGGACAAGAAAGCTAGCTCGCTCTCTCTCTCTCTCTCTCTGTTAAATTTTACTCGGTTACTTTCTGCTCCCCTTCTAAAAGTTTAACGTTTAGTGGTTTAATGGAAACACATTCGTTGGCAAAAAGTTCTCAAGTCCTAACATCCCTTGGCAACATGCACCAAATTTGTAGGGTATGGAGCCAAAGGCTCACTTCGGCAAGGCTTCCAACACAGAAAGAAAGCCAACTGAAAGTTCGAGGGTTCAACCCCCAAAGGAAAGGACCAAAATTAGATGATGAAAATCAGGTCAGGGGTGGTTCTCTCAAATTTTGTGTTTTGCGGGTGGCAAGTAAATCGAATCCCAGGGTTCGGAATCCTGGGCTGGCCCGGGCTTCCCCTGACAGCTGGAGGAAACTTGGATCACACCTCCGGGACTGCGAAGCTTCGCAGCCTTCGGATGGGGGGCAAAACGCCAAGAGGTGGGTGTTGGAGATCAGCCATGGGAGGCAACGTTTTGGAGGTTAGAATAAGGGTACCAACTTTGCTGTAGTCTATTTTTGTTAGGGGAACCCTCTCCCAAAAAAGGGTAAAAGGGCAGTACTGAAAAACCTGGTAGCGCAGGCGCCCTGGAGGAAGGTCGTCTTCTGGGAGGGTAGCTCAATTGCCCTAATGTTCTGCCGGGAGGCTCAGTTGCCCTACAAGAGGAAGGAAGTCTTCCAAAACTGGAGATCAGCCATGGGCTAGCTCAGTTGCCTGACGTCTGGCCCCAATGAAAGGCGAACACCTTTTGGGGCCACTCCCAGATCAGATCCACTGAAAGGGCCTCAAACCTTTTGAGTCCCAACGGGTGTGGTTCCTTTTTGAGGGTGCGCCTGATTTGGTTGCTTTAAAGGAAAACCCAAGGGAAAACCGCAATTGTTGGGGATTCCCTCAAAAGGACGCCTCCCGTCTTTTGCTTGATTTAACGGGGAAACCGAAAGGACACCCACCAATGTAGTGGCGCCCCGCAGCCAAATGCATCTCTGCCTTTAGGTCTTCAGCTCTGGCATGGTGACCCGCACGGCGCGATCCAGGGCGCGGTCCGTGGGGTGGTACAGCAAAACCTCCGAATCGCGGGCTTCCGGTGCCAGACTCATCTCGGTTGCTTTCTGCTCCCCTGCCATTGTTTTTTGACTTGTAGTGGTTTAATGTAAAACCCATTAGTTGGCAAAAAGTTAAAGTCCGAACATCCAAGCAAAATGCAACAAAGTCATTCTCTTGGTGTTCAAGGGAGGCTCTCAGGAAACCTGCCATTTTATGTTTTGGGCTTCCTTTATTGGAGGCCAAATATTCAAAGGAGGGCTTGGAGCACTTCTCAAACATACCTTGGTGTCTCAAACTGGGGCCCTACAAAATCGCGGCTTTGCTATAGCGTTCACGAGGACTTATTCAAATGGCACCAAAACTTGGGACGGTGGAAGGTCCAATCAAATTGAGAAACTGATGACACAAACGACCACCCCCATCCATACTGGTTGATGATGCAGGAGCGAACCATCAGTGGCTCTGCCACCGACTCGTGATACCAAGAAATAAGCCGATCCCATGCCGACTCTCACTTTGACTGGAGGTGCCCCTGGGTTGCACATCAACCTATCACCAACGACGACCACGGAGTGGGTTGGTCAGAAACGACGAACTCACTGCCGAACAGGATGACACAAAAAGGAACGAAACGTGTTGTTTACCACCAAAGTGGTTCAAGCCCAACCAGTGACCTTCCAAAAAGTGTCAAGTCCAGAAACCGGGCAGGCTGTGTCTTTGGAGTTGGTTCCCCTTTCTTGGGTTTTAAAGGAAAGCTGAAAGGAAAGCCGGCTCTCAGGCAACCAACAAACCCGCCCTATGCAAACGCCAGACCCGACTGAAGCCTTTTTGTGGGTCCACGTCCAACCAGGAAAAAAGACTCTCAAGCCATTTTGGGGTCCAACCGGAAAAAGAAACAATAATAATAGTAATAATAGAAAATAACAAAAAATAATGCTAATAATAATAACCATTATAAAAAGAACGAGGAAAACCAAACGAGGCTCGCCCTGAAACCGAGTCCCGCCGCGCCGGACACGCCCGGCCCCCGAAAAATTCCCCATCGCCGTCGCCTCCGCGAGGGTTTGGTAGGCCTTGGTCGCCTGCATGGTGAGCCGCTCCGGGGAGCTGGCGCCCGTCTTCTGCACCATGGCCTGAAAAAAAACGTGGGCCGTGTATCGAAACGGAGGCGTTTTGAGGGGGGGGGGGGGGGCGGACAAAAATGCATTTATTGTTGTATTTATTTATTTATTTTTACAAAGGTACATATATTATATATATATATAGCAAAAAATACAAAAGAAAAAGAACAACCAAAACAAAATGCCCCGGAACCCATTCTGGACTTATGGATGCTTCTTTCTAGAAAACCACCAAAATTCTGGGGAAATGGATCTGGTTTTGAAAAGAAAGATGGCTGAAAAGAATGGAAGAGGAAGCAACCCCTAGATTAACACCATGGGTCATGTATCAAAATCAAAAGACGACTGGGGGCCCGGAAAATGCAGGGGAGTTGTTTTAGATATAAACAAAATGGCCCGGAAAAATCGGGTGCTTCTTGTTTTAGTAAAACAAGCACGCAATGCCCCGGACAATGCCCGTGGTTCCAAAGGGCAACCTCAACATCTCAAGCTTGAAGGCTTCCGATTTGATCCTTTGGCGCGACACCGGTTGGAATTCCAGAATTCCAGGCAACAAAATCATCGGAACGATCTTATCCACAAAATCATCGGAACGATCCTATCCACGTCCTGCTTGGCATACCAGGGCAAATAAACTAGCACGACTGTAAAGTGGGCAATGTCTTTGCAACAAAATTGGGTCTTGGAAGGACGGACAGTGGCACCTTGCGCTTCCCCCCAACGGGGATCCTGAATGATTTGCACCCTCCTGCCCCAGGGACGCCAAAGGTAATGACAACAATGTGATAAAGGACAACCCTATCCACTTCCCAACGTTTTTTTCTCAGGAAAAACGTCAAGTACTCACCCTGGGCAAGCCAAAATGACGGCCTCAAGGGAAGTTTAAGGTAGCCCCGACTAGGCAACCTCTCTCCCTCCCCGCACCTTTCACAGGGGTGTGTGTGTCCTAGCAGTCTTTGGGTGCAGGTAAATGTCTCTACACTGCCGCCCATTTTTTGGTGGAGTCCCCTTTAGCCTCTCTTGAGAACCGCCCAAAAAATGTACAGCTCCGAAAACGACAATCAGGCTTTGTTGCATCCGGCGCGCGTACAGCATTGCTGCCCCGAACTTGCACACGTCCACGTCCGCCTGGGTGGCCGGACCGCGGGGTCTCAAAAAATCCGGGCTATTTGAGGGGTTTCTCAAATTGATACGGTGGATGCCCAAACTATTGCAAGTAGGGAACAAGGTAAATCCTATAATTTCCCCTAGTTTGTGGCTGGGTTCTTTGCAATATCTAAGGCATCCACCGTATCTAGGGTCCAAACAAGGGCGGCACAAGGCAGCGTCCAATAAGGGGCCATATTTTTGACAACCCGCCATTTGAAAGAAAAGGCCGACCCCCCCCCATTGGAAATACATGGGGTGAAGACTTTGCATGAAGGCCTCTGACGGAAGCCTCTGACGGAAGCAGTTTCAAAGACCACCGGGCTTTTGGGGAGAATGTGTTGGGGTCCCTGTATTGGCGCCGTGTCAAGTCATCTAATATAAAGCACACATATGCATACGCATAGGTATAGGCGTATCTGTATATATATATATCTAATTTAGATATATTTGTATTTTGCTTCGACTATGAACCAACAAAAAGACGCGTATTTTGGTTCGACTACGAACCCCAAACAAACTGCTTGCAAGGTCCTTTCCCGCAGGATCCGCAGGATTGCATGTGTGTGTGTGTGTGCGTGCGAGTGTCATGATCCTTTTCCCACCAGCAGGTAGTGACAAACTGAGACTTAAACAGGAGCCTCCCCGCCCGAGGGCGCCAAAAGCGATGGGAGATCGGCTAAACAGGCACTTGGAGACCTCCACACGTTCAACAGATTGGATGATGTGTTCAGTGGTGTAACCATCATTCGGAACCTTTGCATCGAATTCAACCAGCACATGCTCTTGCGAATTCGGAACTGCCTCGTGCGTGCCCCAGTCGCACCCCAAGGATGAATGAGGGCAGCCTGAGGCGCTTCAAGCCTTTAAGCCGCAAAACGAAACAATAGCTGGAGGCCAAGAAATATGCTCCAGCCAGCTCGCCACGTCTCTTGTCCATATGGCTGTGGGTCGAAAATAGGGACCCGACATGGAGCCTTGGTACATGGGACCAAGGACGAACATCTGCCTTCCGCTGGTGGATTGATTTTGACCCTTACCCACATGGCGAATTGCATTGGAACTCACACCGCATGAGCTTTCCACCATGCGAGTGGCAATGAATTTGCAAGAGAAGCCCCCTCCAACGGGCCCTCCAAAACGTCAAGCAACATCTCCGCCAAAATGACAGTCGAACACGACAAGTCAAGGGAACCCTCCAAGACCAGCTGCAAAAAAAGCAAAGGGGAAGCCGTTTCCAACCACTGGCTCCCAAAACAAGAATCTAGGGAACCCTCCAAAAAGCCAGGTCAAGGGAAACCGTTTCCAAAACCAAACTCCAACGGTGGTTTTGTCAACGGGGAAACGGTTCCCAAAAAAAGAAACAAAGTTTGCTTTCTGGTCCCCTGCGACAAGTTAAGACACGCCGTTTCCAACAATTTCAAGTTCAAATAAGGGAAGCTGCTTCCAAAACCCGCTCCAAAACCATCAGTCAGCGGGGAAACGATTTCCCCCAAAAAGACAAATGGCTGTGGGTCAACACCCTGTACCCCTGGTGAACATGAAAATCGGCAAATGGATGTGCATCCACGCCGAAATGGCCAAATCATGTCCGGGGCCCCCGGCGAGGTGTGCCTTCATGGCCGCCACCACGCGCTGCACGGCCCCGGCATCCGCCACCACCGTGCAGCCCCCGTCGGTGACCACGATGCCTGCGGCCCAAAAAGGGGGTGATCCAGTGCCCTTGGTCTGGTGGATGGCCGGACGCCCCCAACAAGTTGCCCAAAAGTGTGTCGTGTACCACGAAAAATGATCTTCCCAAAACGCATATGGCTTTTTGAGCTCAGCTCGGAAAGATAGTCTTACCCCTTAAAGCTCCAAGCAACCTGGGGAAGTTCTCATCTTTTACAAACATATAGCCCATGTTACCCCCAAACAGTTGAAAAGTTGTGTTTTTAAGAGGTAAGTAGTATAGCACTCAAACAAGGTTCATAAAACTTAATGCATCCAACTGGTGGAATTCACGACCTTGGGTTGACAGGTTTGGGGAATCGCTTGGCCTGTGAATCACGGGGGCCCTATGTTTTCCCAAACTAGAGGCAATTTGAAGGTTGGCTTTTGGGCCACTTGATGAGCTTCCTCCTATCTCCTGGTGGGTTGAAGGGGGAAACATAGAGAGCCTTTTGGAAGGCTGCTCTCATTCTAGAAAGGGGGTCTGTGCAATGGCATGCTTCTTCGCAGGGCATTGGGACGTGGAAATGCAGCTCGACAAGTATGGCGTCCACCGCCGCTTAAGGATGCTTTCAAAAAAAAACTCAGATGTCAGAACGGAACGGGCGAAGCAAACCCACATCAGTGCTATTGCCCCGGCGAGTGGTTGAACATCCACATCTTCAACCAAACAGTCCAAGGATCAAGGCCCTTATCTAGCAAAAGGGAACCCATCTTCGTTTCTTAGGGCCTCGTTGAACAGTGAATCTTCCGTGGGCAAAGTGCCGCAATGGAAACTAAGTGCAGGGTTGCTCCGAGAACCCTGGAAGCCGTAAATTTGGTCCTTGAAAAGAAAATCTTAGGAAGCCAAACCATTTCTACCCGAGGAAATGGTCATCTTTTAGAGGCAGGGACTGAGCCAGCACGTGCACACAGGCCAATGTGCCAAACTCATGGAGTGGATCATGGAACTATTCATCCTTCACACCCCAAACGCCCCCCAAAAAACATGAACGTGCCGAGGGATGTTTTTGGGTGACCCCTCGAATTGGTGGTTCTCCTTTTAGTTTCCTTCAATCCACCCAAAATGGGGTACCCTAAAAAAGACACACCCTGCACTCTCTTTGAGAGGTGCGGCGGGTTTCCAACTTCTCCCCCTGGCCCTGCCTTCAAGTTCTTGTTCTGGGGCGTGGCAAGTCTGATCGTTTGATTTGGGCTCCAGTCACTACAAAGCAAAGGCCACAGAACAAGGATTGAGTCAAATAAACGGCTTACTTTCGACCAAGGCGGATTCTTCGAATGAGAGCAACCATGTCCAACTCCCGGAAAACAACATGGTTCTTTCAACATAACATACTGCAAATCCAATCCAACGGTTCCCAACCATTATCCAATCCTCAAGATTCCAACGGTTGCCCTCCCATCATAGGTTCCACTCCCCCGCGCTTCCCAAAGAAAGAGCCAAACTTGCGCTTCATGCAGGGCGTGCTTGGGTATGTGCTGTTTTTTGGAACTTGGTTGTTCTTGACCCCCTGCAAAAAGTTTAACTTTTTGGGGGTTGTGGAAAACACCTCTATTTCAACCAAAAAGCTAAAGTCTAAAGATCCAACCCAATAGCAGTCAAGTGGAATCCAAAGAAAGCAGGACTTTCGAAGATCGCACTGTGAATGACTCATGTCTGAAGGGCCCCTCGGCCCCAGGTGGCCCCCGGCGCCACGATCAAGTCACCCCGCAAGTGGTAGGTTGAAGGCAAACAACCCGATTTTCTGACCGGGGCTGTTTTGTCCATTTGTGGCCCATCTAGTCAACATGACGCATTCACATTGCGATCTTTGAAAAGCATGCTGTCTTCGGGTTCCAAGAACAACACATACCCAAGCACGTCCAGAAAGCGCACTTGGTTGCTTTCTGCTCCCCTGCTAAAAGTTCAACTTTTAGTGGTTTAATACGGAAAACACATGAGTTGGATCAACAATTGTTAAAGTCCTAGCATCCCTCGGCAAAATTTGCGCCAAAGTCATTCTCTTGGTGTTCAAGGGAGGCTCTCAGGAAACCTGCCACTTTATGTCTTGGGCTTCCTTTATTGGAGGCCAAATATTCAATGGAGGGCTTGGAAGACTTGCCCAATTGGAAGTCAGCCCAACGGAGCCGCGCGCCTCGAAGCACGCTGCAGGCCGCTCGCTGCACGCCAGGGTCCCGCGGGAAGCGGTCCATGCCCTGGATGGATTGCCCCTTTTCGGGCCCTCGCCCGGCGGGCCAATTGGGGCCGTCTTTTTTGTTTTTTTTTGGCCCCCCTTCCGCCAAACAACAATTTACCCCTTAAAACTCCCTGCGCCCTGGGGAAGTTAATCTTTTACAGACATATAGCCCATGTTACCCAAAAAGTTGTAAAGTTGTGTTTTTAAGAGGTAAGACAAAGGTGGCGTTCCTTTGGGCTTCCCTTGGATTGTTTTACCATGATCGAAGCTCCTAAACAACCACATTTTTTGATAAACCCCACAAACAGTCAACATAATGACACCAGTTGAAACCACCAAAAAGGGTACCCTCGACATAAAGGCACCCATTTCTAGTCATGGAAGCAAGGTCACCATTTTTTGTGCTTTTGGGGTTCACTCAAAAACGGGTTGACTTGTTCGGGGTCTGAAGACAGAAGGGAAAAGGTGCTACAGAACTACTAGGCCACCTACTCACTTGCAACCTGGCTGCAAAAAAGGTGTCCGCCTTCTGGGTCCATGATGCGAGGACGATGACAAAACAACGTTGCCCAAAAAGTTTCACAACATGAACATTAGCAAACACGTTGACTATTGTTTGGACTAGTCAAAGATGAACAAAGCCAAAAAATAGGCAACCAACTGAACGACACGCGATGCAACAAGTAATGGAACAAGGAGAAGCAAACAGAACATACAAGAACATACCAGAACATGAAGCAACACGTACCAGGAACGGAAAGGAACCCCCCTAAAAATGGAAGGCAAGCAACAAACTGACAAAAACAGACGCACAGCACCAAGCCTCACTTTCCAAATGGTTGTTTTAAAAAAAACACATAAAGTCCAGAAACTCCGGAAGTGCGAAGAACTAAGAAAGTTGCCGTGGGCAACTTGCTTCCTGATCATTGACTTTAAATGGTTCGCAATGCCCTCCGGGAAAAAAAGAACAAAACACATGTTGGGGCACCGCTGCAGATCTACATTGCAGTGAAAGTGATACTATGTTCAAGCTCCCAGCCTGGGCCGAATTGGTGACCCGTGTGGGATTCATAATTTCAAGACAATAACCGACCAAAGAAAAAAGGATTCAGAGGGCTGAAGAACTGGTGACAACTGGGGACGGGGGGCAGGGAACGGGCAAATCGTAAACCCCGCCACGCAGTGATACACCATCAAAACCGGACATTTAGAGGGTACCACTGAACAGCATTCACATTGAAGTCATTGGTTGTGCCACATCCTAGAAAGGTTCACTGCCTGAGTGGATGGGCCAGAACAAGTTTGCAACTCAGCTTCCATTTGCTTAAGAATGAAACATATTTCCAGCTCCCTTTCAAACCAACAAGGGGAAATCCAAAATATGCTAGGAATCCGAACCCCTGGTGATACCATACCATTGGCATCGACCCATCATCACTGCAAAGGGGCTGCCCAGGGACACATATTCTTTTCAGCAAATGGGAGTAATTTCCGACCACATTTTGAGCATAGTTTTCAGCTATCCTCCCAAACCAACCAGGGGAAATAGCACATATTCTTTTCAGGAACTGGAAGTGCCTGGTCCCCCCAAATTTCAAGTCCAGCTCAAGTGAGTCCGCCGGCCCGCCAAATGTCCCCGCCGGCCCGTCGCCTCCAGCACCACGGGGCACATCGCCCCAGGCGCCAGCCCGGCGGCCGCGGAAGGCACCGCGGTGCCGCCCGCCTTGGCCTCTGCCAAGAGGCCGCCCAGCCGCGTGATGCCCGCCTCCTACGTGGGGAGTAGTTGGGGGACATGCGCATTTCTCATCTCTACTCCTGGTATGGTAGCTAAAAACTGACTGTTTTTTGCAGACCCCCAGTAGAAATGAACAGAACCAACAAAACTAAAAAACAAAAAGCATGCCAAGAACAGTGAAGTTCTTCAATTTAGGGGACATGGGTGGTGTCAAATCCATTTACTTCTTCGCCAACCAGGGGGTTTGGTCTTTGGACATGGGTGGCGTACCTTCCATTTCGATGGGATGCGAAATCTTCTCAGGAAACCATCAAACACCCAGAAAACAAGCAGCCGGTTTTAAAGAACGATGGTTGAAAAGAATGGGGAATCAACTTCTAGATTTGTTCATTTTACACGACATGGGTGGTGTCAAGTCCTAAAAATTACCCGCTACAAAAGCCAGGGGTTTGGACTTTTGGGCTTACTTTTGAATCGATCTATCCAAAAGAGAGGAAGAAATGGAAGTCCAGAAGCTCAGGAAGGCCGCAAACCCCATGTCCGATGGGAGCTGGCTCAAAATAGGGTCAGGAAATTGAACACACATGACCACTAAAATGATACTTCCCCAATTGTCAGTCCGATACTGGAGAAGTGCGAACGGGTCCTGAGTTTGCAGGGCCCCTGAGTTGTTGAGGTTCTTTTCTAAGCCTGGTCCAATTTTGATTGGCCGCACTTGTCTTGATCTCTGGGCTGTTCATCTTCGCGATACCATAAAGCTTCAGGAAGCCAATGCCCCAACGAGTTACGACAAAGATTCAGGAACCCCCCCCAACGGTTCTGGCGTGACTACGCCTGGTTCAGCAAGACAACCAACGCCCGAAATCTTTGGGAGGTGGTAGGGTCTGTGGCGCTTTGCTTACTATACTAGGTGCATTCATGGGCAATAATGGTTTACAGGTTAGATTTGGGTTTGTCCTTCTTTGAGGAAACCCCCGTTTGGCATCCCATTTGAGGTGGTTCCTCCAAAAAAGACACACCCCATTTGAAGCTTACCCCACGGACAGGGTCTTGAAATCCGCCGACGCCAGTCGAGCGTGTGAGGAGTTATCCCCTGCTTTTGGAAAACCCTGTTTTTTGCACTTTTTCATGTGACCTAGGCAAAGAGACGTCTTTTTCCTGACCCGAGGTACCCTGCAGCCGACCTCAGAGGCACTTGTTAAGAGCCCTGCATATGACCTAAGCAAATTTTTCCCTGCCCCGGTCACATCGGGCTCTTAACGTGTTGAGGGAGAACAAACAACGCCCCTCTGACGTCTGCTGCAGAGGGCCTCGAATTTGGGGTAAGGAAAAAGACGTTTCTTTGCTTAGGTCAAATGGGGCTCTTAATGCGTGGAAGGGGAACACAAACAGCCCTCTGGCGTCGGCTGCAGGGAGGCAAAAAGACGTCATGCTCCCGGCCCCAAATCCGAGGCACCCTGCAGCGTCAAAGGGGTGTTGTTTGCGTTCTCCTTCCACGCGCTAAGAGCCCCACTTGACGTGGGCAAAAACAAAGAGTCATTTTCCGTACCCCAAATTCAAGGCACCCTGCAGCCGACGTCAGAGGCACTTGTTAAGAGCCCCATATGACCTAAGCAAAGAGACGTCTTTTTCCCTGCCCCAAATTCGAGGCACTCTGCAGCAGGCAGACGTCAGAGGGGCGGTTTGTTCTCCCTCAACACGTTAAGAGCCCGATGTGACCTAGGCAAAAAGACGTCATGTTCCCGGCCCCAAATTCGACGCACCCTGCAGCCGACGTCAAAGTGGCGTTGTTTGCGTTCTCCTTCCGCGTGCTAAGAGCCCCACTTGACCTGGGCAAAAACAATCAGTCACCCTGCAGCCGACGTCAGAGGGGCGTTGTTTGTTCTTCTTCCACGCGTTAAGAGCCTCACATGACATCAGCCCCAGTTTATTCATAGGGGACTGTCCACTGGCGTCGGCGGACCGCGTAGCGATTTCAATATGCCCTTTCACTAATACAAGTTGCTCACACTTTTGATTGTCGTGATACCACGCGGATGTGTAAACATCATGTGCCAGTAGAATCAACTCGGATTATCAAGGCGCAAGGGCGATGCATAATTCCGCTGACGCACCGTTCCGGCCAAACAGATTTTGGGTCCCGGTCCCGAAAAAGTCAAACAAACCCATGTCATAAAGTACCTGCAG